GAATTTTGAAACTAAATCGAAATAACGATGATAAAATTTAATAAAATATGTTCGTAATTTATGATAGCGGTAGCCCTGTTTGAGAAGGTTGCCAGTAATGAAAATATTACGTTCGTTATAATCCATTTCGTGGCTACAAGCTCTAGCGAATCGTATGATCTGAGATACATATACCCCGTAAGATGTTGCATGGGGTACGTTGCCATCTATGTGTGGATAATTCACTATTCCAAAATCAAAGTAATCTCTCTTGTCATTGGTTTCGTATGAATAGTTTTGGTATTGACTTTTATGTTAAGATAAATAATGAAGTACTAAAATTTCAAAAATTCGTTTTGTTAAGCTGCAGTTCTATTGGATAGATATAACCATTTGATCAAAATAATTATTATCTAAATTAAAATTAAATTGAATATTCTCAAGCTATCAGGAAGAGTCATTAAACGATACAATTACATCTTGTTGTTTATCTGGAGAGAGGCTCAACATAAAGTCTCTTTCATAGCAATATTAAAACAAATCACAGCATTAAAAACATATGGTCCAAATATGGATCAATAGATAAAAATTATTATCTTTACTCAAACCTTATTTCTGTATCTACTGCGAAAGGGGATAATGCACTTCATACCAGGTCGCTTAGTTCTAAATAGGATCTTGTAGCTGTAGAGGCATGCTACCATAGGAACAACTTGTTTATCTGATATGCATTACGAATAGGAAAGAAAGAAAGCTGCAGAATAATAAAGAACTTGATAGAACTTGCGAACATCTTAAGTTAGATTTGCTTGATTCAGATATTGCAAATAAAATGTTTATGACTTTACTCATATTAATGTCTCATTCGCTGGTTTCTTTCAAGGCCATTAACTGTAAAGTACCCGGTATGCTATTGCTTACTCGTCTGACAATAATTTTAGCTCAAACATATACACTGATACACCTTTCAATATACAGTCATATAACAATGCTGTCAAAAAGCTTTTTAACAGTGGAAACGGTGTTGAACTTCCAACTAGCCTAATAAATTGTCTTAAAACAGGCAAACAATCTCTTGAAAGTTTTGTGTTTGACAGTTGTTGTAGATAATTGATAACCACCCAGAGTGATTCTTTGATCCGATTCCAAAATCTTAAATCCTTACAATCGGGTCAGTAAAGTCTAAAGGCAAGTTTAAATTAAGCGTTGCTCTTATTGATTGTGAAAAGATGTATTTAAGACTTCCCAGAATGAATTCATTTAAGGAAGTGTCATTAGACAGGGTTGTATCCTTTGAGAATGATCCCGTTTTTTTTGAGTTTGTGCACAGATGATGATTTCAACCAAGAAACATAATTTCCTTGAAATATGATAAACAAAATAAACAAGGAATGGTGGCGTTCAATGAACCCACCCCCACATGACCCAGCAACAAGAACCAGTGGCAAGGAGCCCAGGCGGACCCCAAACAAAAAAAGTTGAAAAACTTGATATCTAACTACGTTAAACAATGATGAGTTAAATGCTTCCAGTATAGCTGACTGTTTTATTTGTATGATGTTTTTCAGATGCTGCACCATCAGTCTCGGATAAAAAGAACATACCTGATGACGACTTTATCATTTTGGCAATACATTTTGTCACATAGTCAATGTGCACAGCACATACATGAAGTATTTGACAGGTATATTTTAGGTAGCCTTAAAACCCAAAATGCACTGAAAAAGTTCTTTTCTAGGTATCTCGCTAAAAACTGTCATGAATGAGTTTCTTAATGAAAGAACCACTATTTATAGATCAGGAAGGGTTAGATTAAACAGTTTTAAAAATCACTTCTTCATGTGTGGAGTATGTTCCAACTTTATATTTAAATCCTGAAGAAGCTGATAGCAGGATAATCCTTCATGTTGCTTTTGCTTCCTTATTATGTGTACAACAAGCTGCTGTTTTTAGTCCTGATACGGATGTATTTGTACTCCTTATTCATCATGCAGCTTGAAAAGTATTTACTTTAAAACTGGTAGAAAACATATGCTCAGATACCTTACAACAAGTATCATACTTTCTACATAGTGTCTTACAGGTTGTGATACCTGTTCATCATTCCATGGCATAGGAAAGAGGATAACTGTACAGGTAATGTCTAAAGCTGCTGATGATCTTAAAGATTTTGCTTTGAGAAAGATCCAGTCCTTCCAATGCATGCTACGACTGCTGCATTTAGGTTTGTTGACCTGCTGTAAGGACATCATAATTGCACCTTCCTCAATGCTCTTATATGACCCCAGGTTCTTTTCAAAAATGGTCAGACCAAGGAAATTATCTCCAACAAATGCAAGCTTTGTTATCATTTACAGCAATGTATATATCAGTTATTTGTATAGCGTTCTATTCATATATTTTCCCATTGATCCATTGGACGTTTGATATTGTAAAGACAAAAGACAGGAATGTACAATTCACAGCTTATGACACAACCTTCAGCCGCACTGGAACTGTATGAGTGACCTTGTATGAACTTGTTCTAATTTTTGCAGTGAGTTTTGTGTTTGTTCGGGCAATATACAGCCATGTACCATAGCCTGTTCTTGCAAAGGAGTTCTACAAAGGCAAATCTGTGAAAACTTTTTAACATTCTGACAAATGTTGAGACAAAAGATAACCGTGATTGTCTAAAGTAAAATTGGAAAAGAAACTAAATGTTACATTGACTGTGGTTAAAAACTAAAATGGATTCTTTAGACATGTTTTGTAATGTATCTTCTATGATTCGACCCTGCCTTGATTCAGAACTAGTACAGTGTAGAATAAGTTTTAAATTGTAAACGCTCCCTTTACATTATTTTAAAGGGTTGATAACATTTGTTAAAATTCAAAATTTGAGGTTGTATCATGCACGGCGACTTAAATGCCGATTTTCTTACACAGAGCACGCTGTCATATTGAGTAAACGTCTTACACAGAAGCTCTTATTCACAACTTCGAAAAAAACATTATTGTTAAATCTAAGGGATTCTTATTATCTTGGGGATTCTTATTTTCTCTATTTTACTGCGGCTCTCCGAAAATCAATAGAATCAGGTTATTGGAATGCTACAAGCTGATGCCAAGTTATAGTTATAGTATATGAAATGAGTTAGTTACGAGAATAAAACACTGGCTGGGGCGACATCAAAAGATGTTTCTGCTTAAAAAAATGTCGAGGCCATTAGGCCATGTAGGCCGAGACGATTTATTTTGCAGAAACAACCCGAGATGACGCCCCAGCCAGTGTTTTATATATTATAACCGTTTTATCGCAATTTCATAAATTGGTTTTGTAATAGAAATCAGCAAAAAGAAAAAAATAATGAAACCCCAGATAAAATGATCCAATACCATCTAATGTTGTCGTAAGGTAGTTATAAAAAGGCAGTTGTTTGAAGGTGTTTTCACTGCCGAAAAAAAAAGAAAACAAGAATAAAACAAGATATGCAACCATTGAAAATTTAAAGACATCAAATGTTAGAATCTTAGACGGATTGTAAACTGATACCTTGGGCAGAAAGTAACATTGATTCAAGATAAGAGTAAAAAATTCATTCGGCAGATGTAGCTTTTGATTTTAGCATTTGTATATATGAGAATAAATTTTATTTCATTGATTCTCTTTGTTTATAGTATTCGGAATGTTCGTTACCGACGCCTTTGTGGAAAAATTAAACAAAAAACAACTCAACCGATATATAGCAGGTGCAAAAAAAACTGTTATACATGTATAGCAACTGAGTTTTTTTCCTAAATGAATCAATGAAAAAACTGTATTGCTATTTATCAATACAGTTTTTAAATGCTCATTGAAGTGTACTGAATACAATGGGTTAGTAAGAACAAAGAAAAAATTTAAACCATACGATAAGGTTATGGATATTGCACAGCATTTTGGCTGCTCTAGACAAACAATTCATAATCTTAGTAAACGATTAGGTAATACTGGATCTGTTCATGATCGTCCGAGATCTGATGCAACTCGTGTGACGTCACTAACGGACGACCACGTCATTAGGCTGAATCATCTTCGCAACATGTTTTGCCTGCTACAGCTACTGCACGGCAGCTAAGTGTCAGTGCCCAAACACCCTTTTACTATCCATGCAGACTCATGGTCTTGGGTTGACTTTCCAGCAAGGCAATGCAAGACGACACACTGCCCGTTTAACAGTCAATTTTCTAGCCCGTAACCCTGTTAATGTCTTGCCGTGTCCCGCTGTCTCCCCGCATATGAATCCGATTGAACATATTTAGGATGAACTTGGGCGAAGAGTGATGACAAATCACTAGGTGGACAACGTTGTCGACCTTGCACGGGCACTATAGATGGAATGGTGGACCCTGCCTAACGTTTCAATCAGGCGTTATGTTCACTCCATGAGGAGGATAATTCGAGCGTGTATTACCGTTTCCGGGGGCCACTCACGTTACTGAGTTGTTCTGATAAATAATATTGATTTTAATGTAAAGATTCAGAATTTCAAAAGTGTCATTTACTATCGCTTTTCATTCCTGGGTTTTTATTTAGACCTCTAGGTCAGAATTTGTTAGTGTTTAAATTGTTTCTTTTGGTTAGATCGACAAAAATGTGAGTAAATCGAAACAAATTCTCAAAGGAATAAACTGTAATCAGAGGTATCCGGATACACCAATAATAAATTAAAATATGCCCATTAAAATATGCCCATTTTAAGTTCTTACCTCTCTGGCGTGGGTTCGATCCCCGGGAGATGCTTTGGTAGTTTAGCGCGGAGGAAGGTAGTCTAGTACTGGTGTAACTCTCCAGGAACGATGGTTAGGAAACTACCCGCCTATATGACTGAAATACTGTTGGAAAAGGCGTAAAATGAAACAAACAAACAAACAAACAAATTTTAAGTCCATGTAAAGTTTTTTTTTTTATTATTTTGCTAAGTGTATAAAACTGTCGCTGTTTTGCTATGCTTCGTGAGTCAAAATACGAACGGAAGACATGTCCTAAATTAGTGACACTTCAATATGACCTTTCTGTTCAAATATCTTTTTGTAAATATGTCGGGGGTATAATTTAGAACAACGTGGTTATCGAGTATTTTAGAATATAACATAGCAAAACATTGACCTCGTCACACGCGATTTATAATGTCTTTGAAAGGTAAGACTTTTTCGTTAGGTTTATGTAAAAATTTATATTATGTGATATTAATTTCTTAAAATTCTATTGCTTATTCAATGAATTAGTGAGTATTTTTTAATGCGCATGTATTGTGATAAAGGTTTTAGCTACGTTGTGATAAGAAGTTTCACTAAAATTGCAAATAAGTTCAAGGTTTTATTCATACTATTCATATTTCAGTTATATACATTTTTTATTATAATTATCAGAGGCTCGCCGTTTTTTGTGAGAAATTCGTTACAAGAAATTCTAAATATCTTTGTTCCTTTTAAAATGTGTTTCATACTAACTATAAGATAGATTATTGTGTATTTGGCTGGAAAAAAAGCTGTCGGTAAACTATCTTACTAGAATATCTCCTCTTAAATATTTTTGATTAATTGGAAAACAATAACTACCATAACTGCTACTTATATTGTTTTGTCCTGTGAATTCAATGCAGATGACTATATGTACGATTTTTAACGATGCAGTTGTAAATATAAAATGTCTTCTCAAAACGATCATGATAATGTGTGGGAATCTGCTCTAACAAACGTAGTTTTTATGTCTTTCAGGGCAGACCGTCTTTATTCCCGGGGGATGCGGCACAGTGGGTATAGGGTTAACTAGAGTGTTTCTTAAAAAATGGCGCGAAGGTAAGTACTCTTCTACCAGTTCACGTGTATGGAACGCCATTTCTGCCTTTTTAACATTTAACTGTTTGTACCTCCTTAGGTTTAGTTAAAATACTTTAGATTTATTAAGAATACGAGTATTATTGTAGAAACTGTCTTCTATATGTTTAACTGATTTTTTTCTTATTTAAGCAAACATGTACATTTTTGGATATGTAAAAATAAGTGGCAGGCAGAGTTTATGATTTTTTAAAAAAAACTGTACCGCTTTGTTTTCAGGTTGCTGTTAGCTCGAGGACACAGGAAAGGTTGGATGATTTCAAAAAGTTGATGGATCTGGAGGTCCAGTCTAACTTGATACTCATTCAAGTATGTATAACTATTTTGTCTGTTGTATTTCAGGTATTATGATTGCTCTACAATTTTGTATCGTTGCCTAAACAACATATATTTATCAATGCCCACTCCTGGAGTTTTTTTGCGTACTGTATGGTCGTCAATTGATTTGTGATAAATTCTCCACCAAATAAGGGTAGTGATTACGAGTAATATATTAAGCGGAACGGTAAAGATCGTGTAATATTTAATGTTGGCATATCAAACCTCAGAATTGAATATATTTTTGTCCTCAGCCAGTACAAACATGTGCTTTAAAGTGTTGTTAAGATAAATTTAGAACACGTGAGGAGCCTGTCATCTTGAGATTTTACCGATTAATGAGAAATAATTTGTGATTATGTATCAATTTAAATAAATTTGTGTTTAGATTTGAAAGGCCAAAGACCGGCTCAGTTAGATGACCAGTAAGTAACTTTTTGGAAACTAACAGAACACAGAAAATGTAATAAAACTAATTGAAAATTTAATGAAAGAAATGATCGAAATTATACCATTTTCTAGGCTAAATGGGTCTTTGGCGGCAAAACATTTTGTATACCTAACGGCGATTGAGACATTTATCGGCAACGACGCAACATTTAGTGGTGTTATGACAGTGAGTAAACACATAAAATTGCCAAACGTGTATTTATTCTCTTTTTTAACGTTAAAGTTATGAAATATGACAAAGGTTTTATGTTCCAACAGTTAAAAGAACGGCTAAGCACAACTACCTTAGTCACGAGTCCTGAATTTTTGAAAATACATAATAAATACATGTGTATTATAGAATGAGTTTTACTTTGAATTTGATAATATTTGTTCACATATTATACAATATATAGGCAGATGCTTCCACGGAAACTGGAGCTAAAACAATATTAGATACACTGGTAAAACAAGGTGGCGTACAACATGTCGTGGCTTTAATGGGAGGCTGGTGGCAGGTTTGTTATTTTTATACATAGAATATCACTGTAAATAAAAAAAAAAACGATTTCAAATGAAAAGTCACTTATTTTTTATTTGGCACGTGATTAACAACGTGGCTTATTTACGACATAATATATTGTTTCATATAGCCATGGCTTAAGATTTCGATATTTAAATTATGATAAATTGGTATCAATTACAAAACGTTCCCAAAGAAGTTTTATGTTGAATTTTGTTTCTTGTCATTTTCCTGATATAAAAAGTATATAAACTGAATGAGAATATCTACACTTTCAAGAATGGCAGTCTCACGAAGCAATCACTAGAAGAATTTGAGAAGGAGATGCGTGACAGAGTTACATCCCACTTCATTTGTGCGAAAACTTTCCTACCACATATGGCCGACATTGACGGTGAGTTCTTTGTTTTTATGCTACTGCGCATTCGAAACACCTCGTCGATAATTCATAATCAGCTAAGTTTCATACCGTAATCTAATATGAAATGTGTTCATGAGTCGAAAAATATAATCAGAGGCTATAATATCTCTGATATAATTCTATTATCATTATGTCATACACTTACCTATTTCTTGCCTATAAATGAAGTTAGTTTGAATATTTTATTTTGATTTTACTAATCAAGGCGTTGCATGAAAAACGTTTTGTTATAATTCATGTTCACCCAAGTCGCATGTTTTACTGAAGTAAATATAACAAACTTAGGCAAAGGTAGGAACTAAATACTTCGTTAAATATAGTATAAATTTTGGCAGAATATCAAACTGTTTATGATAACTATCACTCGTGTCAAAGATTTGTTTGGGTAATTACAGATACTTTTTTTATATCAAGTCAATATTTTATAAAAAAAAGGGTTTTGTTTCCTAAAGAATAATGACCGTTGATATTTTTCTTTGAAGTAAATTTTACTTCGTGACACCGGCTATGTTATCTTAATTACAGGGGCAACATATACGATAACATCCGGGTCAGCTACCTGTGATGACTGGGACCTTCCGGACAGCTCAATGATTATAGTGGCAGGTGGCGCCGTCTATGGTGTATGCCAGGCTCTGCAATCAGAGTTTAGGGAAGCTAAATGTGCCGTCAATGAAGTCAGAATAGGACTGTTCATTCAACCTAAGGTTTGTGAAAAACCAGTTTAATACACTTATATGCATATAAAAAAACAACATAAAAAACACCACTTGTTGCTGATTAAAATATAATAAAATTGTGATTTAAATTATTTAAAGCAATAATGGCGATACGTTAAAGATGTCAAATTTTCTGTAAGATAGTTTTTTCATCGATCCATAAATGCCTTTTCACAAAAATTAAATCATCTTTTAGCAGTTTAAATTTAAAAAAGCACCTGAACGTTGACATTTGCCTTTAAAAGGTGAATGAATTTTCAAGTGTTCATTAATAATAACTAAATTATTAATAATCAATAAATTCCCCCGGTGAGATATGACTTTGTTTAAAACTTATTTATGGTTTTAAGTTGTTTATCTTGTTTATACACGTAATGTTTTACTTTTTAATAGTCAATTATCTTGGATACAGAAACACGTCTTAATCGAAATGTTTGCACGGTCAGTTTTAATGTTTACTTTAACCAACCTTTAAAACCGTCTATACCTGTCCGGACAAAGAATGTGAAAGGGTTTACATATGAAGATAATTATTCAAATAATATAGTGGGATCCGATGTTCTAAATATTATTCAAACATGACCCGCATTTTCCCTATTGAACATAGAAGAACCGAAAGTGTGTGTGTTTTTAAGAAATAATGTATCCCAAACAGTGATTTTATTGCTCAATAAAATCACTGTTTGGAGTTCGGATGCAGAAATCATATCACGAGTGATATAATTTGATGCGCATCCAAACGACAAACAGTTATTTTATCAAGCGATAAAATCACCGATTTGGGTATATAATTTCGATTCTAACACATCAACAAATAAATGCTGCCGTAGATCTACCTGATAATAAGTATTGTGTTGATGTCGTGTAAGAATCAAAATAATATGTCCAAATCGGCGATTTTATCGCTTGATAAAATCACTGTTTGTCGTTCGGATGCGCATCAAATTATATGATTCCTCGCGTCAGAACTCCAAACATTGATTTTATTGAGCGATAAAATCTCTATTTGGATATATTATTTCTTGAATTACTAACACGTCCATGTAGGTTCGTTATACTGATACAAAATGAAACAATAGTCACAACCGCAAGTGTTCGGCTCTTTCCGTCAGTTTTCGGCTATTGATTAATTATAGCCGAAATGTTCCGATAGCAAAAGTCAAAGCGTTTTAGTCCTATTATATGAAATGTAATTTGTTAAACGGAAAATATAAAGTCCTAAACAAATTTTGTTCCTATCCTATATATGTTTTTATATATATGTAACTGTAAATGTTCTCGCTCATTTTATTTGTTCGCACAACCAACCATTCTGTAATGTATTCATGATAATATCGTAGCATATGTATAAATAGAACTTTATTACCAAACAATCATTTTCAGCTTGATAAAGATTTGGAGAAACGCTCTTTTGAAATCCGTGGACGTGAATTAGAGATAATCGGAAATGACGTCATTGGTGATTTCATGCTGAACGTTCTACTGGCACGTGCAAGGGGAACCATAAAAATTAACACAAGGTCAGATGTAGAAAGAGAGACACAGAAGTTAAAGAAGAACATCAAGAAATAAAGAAGATAAAAAATTGTCACTGTATTTTACATGATATGACAATTTAAAATCAGACGCATACTACCCTAAGGTCAACATTTAGCAAAAATAAAGAGTTATATTTCATGAACGTTTCGTTACAAGTAATTATTTTCTACCTTTTTATCATTAAAAAAACAAAGTACATTTTGTTCAGACTTATGTACATTACAATCCAATTTACTTGAAGGAACTAAAGGACATAAAAGGACCAAAAATATTTTAAGATGATTTTTTATATAACTGGATGTATAGCTGGACCAATTACTTGTGAACATTCGCTCACTTGACCATTCGCTCACTTACTGTGGTCACTTTTCACTAGACTCGGCCAAACAATCGCTAAAATAGTCGAATTTTATTAATTTGATGTTTTCAGGCTATTAGACTTTAAAAAGTGGAGTTCCTTTAACATTATTCATAACTCAACTAATATAACCAATCAGAGGACCTACATATAATTAATTAACAAAAGCTGGTGAAAAGTATATTTATTCATACACTAGAATTCAATAAAGTTTATTTATTTCTTTCCAAAGACGCATAGTGGTCCTACACAGTCTGTTCCCGTTGATAGTTGTAAATCATAGCAGACGACCTGTTCGTTGGTGTCCGTGTCCGTGATTGTAATATGTGCCTTGTAATCACCCTGAAACAATTTTGTATGATGACCGCAAAAGTGTGAAAAGAATTGGTGATTTATACAATAGAATCTTTTATGCTGTTTTTATAGAGAAAAAGCAACAACAAAGCAAAAAAAAATTATATTAATTATATTTTAACCTTACCTGCGCAAGGAATTTGACAGCCTGAGGTAATCCATCAATTACAAAATGTGTCGGATTGACATGATATGTTCCAGGAGTGAAAGGGCATGCGCAGTTTATATCTGGTGAGCTGGCCACTACTTCCATTGGACAATGGTGGACATTGTTGTAGTGGCGGCCGCTTAAGATATCGCACAACTCCCATGAACTGAAAGGCACATATATTTCAAAATAGAGGCAGGCCAATAGCGCATGCATTATAAATTTTAAAACCGATTTATTAAGGCTTGAAACTTTGTACGAGAAACAAATAACAGTGAACTTCTTTGACAGATGAGATAACTCAGTCATATAAGCAATTGCAAATTCGTATATTTCAGAAACACAAGTGTAACGCCGGATACGAAATACTTGTTGCGAAAGACTTATCTAAGACACAAAATTTTAAAAAAAGTTGATTCATAGCATCATGATATTAATAAAAAAAAACAGAAAACAAAATACAACTAATCAAAGAAGTAATTATGAAGTGTATACTACACACCAGACTGATTTACTAGGATCTTCAAAGCATGGAATAACAATATATCCCAAGAATGCCTTTTTCACGATAGTAAGTTCCGCTCGTAAATGACGGCCGTCGATAGGTTTAAACAGCTCAACGTCTACTGACACTGTTTCATTGCCAGGTATATGAATTGGGTCTATATTGCTGATGTGTATGTTGCTAATGTTTACAAGTTTGTTAGAACTTTTGCCTGAAAAGAAAATTACAAGATCACTATCATAACTTTTCCCTCCAAATTAAAGCCTAAATATACAGAATTCTGACCATCATCTACCAATATACTGTGTTCAATATAATAGAGTGTATTGCTTAATTTTTCCTTCTTTTCAACGATCATTCGCACTGTACCTCTGCTCTGGAATATACAGAAGTTTCAGTTCCTTACAGAAGTGAAGGCAACAAGTACTGGTAAACTGCTTGACCGCCTGCCCAGGAACCGGTGGCTGAACTATGCTCTGGTAATTCAATGTGGCTTACTGTCGTGATCCTGAGTGAAAACTACCAATACCACTACCATCAAAGTAAATAAGGCGAAGACATAAATGCAGTCAAGCCTTAGTGGCGGCACGGTCAAGTGGTTGACGCGTCGGACTTGTAATCTAATGATCGCTATCCGCGCGGATTCAAACCCCATCAGGGGCGAGCCGTTGTTTGGTTGAGCAAGAAACTTTACACTCATTGCTCAATACTGGTTGGTTCCGGGAACGGTTTCGAGAGTGTGTCATAGCTTTCCACACAATCGAACTGAAATAAATTCTGTATAAAACCAAATGTAGTCTAAACAGCAACAAAAATAAACTTACTACAATCCGTTAATTTAAAGGGAAGTAAAGCAGATACCACAGACACAGCACCGAGACAGACCAAAATTCTCAACATCTTCACTTTCTAATATTCCCTGATGAACTGATTACAAGATAGTTCCTTCCGTTCTTATCTTCATTATAAGATCATCCAATTCTTCATTGTTGAAACCATCACGATATTAGCTGATAAGAAAACATTCGACCTAACGACGTCTGTACATAATGTATTTGGTGAACTTTTTCGACATTCAAATGTTTCAAATGTATATATATATTTGAACGTTTTGAAAGTAGATATGAAATTATGCTACTGTCATATAAACGTTTTTTTTTTCATCGGTCAATTAAGGAATGTCAAAGCTTTCACTTATGTCTTTTAGTAGTTCGAAAGTTGCCAATAAATATATAGTTTACAAATACACATACTAATACGCACCGTTTTTTCTGGCATTAGCATAAAAGTTTGTTCAGAGGTCTAATTATGACCATACAGTTTGTAAAATACTCGTCTAATTCACTGCCTGAAGTACATACTACTTTTCTATTTTTTTCGTGTGTATTTTTGGTATATTTGATTGTGTCTTTCAAAATTAATTGAGTACTTTCATAACACCATGACCTTTTTCCACGGCGGTAAGTGATGGACATTTCAGCAAGACTTCTATCAAATTAGATCAGAAAATCTTAATAATCATGGACCATTTGGTTTAAAAAGAACATGTCTTCCAATTTTAAAGCAATTGTCCTTTCTTAGTTAAAAATTATTTCTGTACGCAATTTTTATCGAGCCGTTTCAGTTTTGTAAACAGACTTACTCCCGAAAACGTCCACCGACTGTAAAGAAATGTTAACTATATTTATGTCATTTTATCTATTTGAAATCCACCAAGGACGCCACTTATCTTATTCGACCTACATAGTTTTAATAAATTAGTCAGGTGTTTTCTTTGACCTGCCATATATATATATGAAGCAGAACGATTGTTGTAGAATACAATTATCTATGACGACCTGGTATAGCTGTGTATACGCATAGAACGACTGGAATAATGATCGAGCCTACAACCATTTGATAGGCAAATACGTTAACCTCTTGTCCAGGACTCCCTTCTGTTTCTTTCTTTTTTTACATAATCAAAGACTGGCTTTGTCTCAGATTGTCAAAAATAACCACGCCACAGGGCTAATGATTTACATTATTTACATAAAGTAAAAGCTTCTTGTCTGAAGATACAAGGCTTAGAGCTTTGATATTTGGTATATAATATAATATATAGGTCCTCTAAAAAGTCCTTCAAATTTTGCCTGTAGTATCAAATTAGCCCCGCCCCGGGGTTCATAGGTTTTTCTTTTTATGTAGTAAAAGCTTTATTATGTAGTAAAAAATATTCTTCTCTGAAATGACAAAGGCTAGATATTTGTTTGAAATATATTGTAGTGGCCCTATTCCAAGATGGTTCAAATTATAGCCCTGGGGTCAAAATCAGCCCCACCCCGTGGGTCATTGATTTTCAATATGTACATATAGTGAAAAAAATATAAAAATGTTCTTGTCAGAAGGTACAAGGCTTAGAGCTTTGATATTCGGTATATAATATCATATATAGGTCCACTACCTACCAAAATTGTTCAAATTTTGCCCCCAGTGTAAAATTTGACCCGACCACGGGTGCCGTAGGTTTTTTCTTATATGTAAATAGTAAAAACTTGAGAAATCTTCTCTGAATTGACAAAAGATAAAAGTTAGATATTTGCCACGAAACATTGTGTAGTGGACCTATACTAACATTGTTCAAATTATACAGCTGGGGTCAATATTGTCCCGGGTGGTCATTGATCTTCATTATGAATATATAGTAAAAATTTGGAACAAACTCCTTGTCTGAAAATACAAGACCATGATCTTTGATATTTAATATATGAAATCATCTATAGGTCCTCTACCAAGTTGTTAAAAGTCTGCCTCTAATGTCAAAATTGGCCCCACCCCGGGGGTTATAGATTTTACTAGTATTATGTATATATATTAAAATCTTTAAAAAAACTTCTCTGAAATGACAAGGCTAGAGCTAAGATATTTAGCATGAAACAGTGGGAAGTGAACCTCTATCAATTTTGTTAATATTTTGCCTTTCGTGTCAAAATTGACCAAAAGGTTTCCCTGTTATGTGACCTTTAAAAACCACTGAAATGACAAAGGTTAAAGGTAAGATGTTTGGTATATAACATTGTGCAGTTGACCTTTACAAAGTTTTTCAAATTATGGCCATGGGGTAAAAATTGGCGCTGTCCTGGAGGCATAGATTTTCATTTCAAACATAATTATAGTAAAAGCTTCTGGGATAATTATCCTTTGAAGCTTCAAAAGCTGAAGCTAAGATATTTGGTATGAAACATTGTGAACCTTTACAAAAATTGTTCAATTTATGGCCCTTGGAACAATATAAGCCGTGCCTTGGGGTCATGAGCACTTTTTCATTAGCCTGGGTTCCAGTCTGTCGATTTTTTATGTGCTCCTGTTCGGCAAATCATTCGACATTTTGATCCGTAGTACAGTTTAAGATAAAGAATTGCTATAATAGTTGACCTATATTTTGACCTAGTGACCTACTTCCAAATTCAGTAAATTCTACTGCATTATGATCATCACAAAGTTTCATTGTTTAAAAACTAAAAATATACTTATATTCCGTTGTTACTATTTATTGATGTACATGTATAGTGCCGTCGCATAGCAATTTTTCACAAATGCAATCTTGTTTTGAATCAATGATTGCACTTTGGCCTTTGTATCTTAACATAAGACACATCATTTTTCATTTTACATGCTGAAACATGACCTTGTGCCCAAATTCTAACTAAGTATTTAAGTTATATAACCTGTTAAAGTGTATCATATCACTGTTAATTTCTAAGTATCAAAGGAAGTTTTGAGAGAACTATTGGCATACACCTAGAAGACATATAGCTTCTATATCAATTTTTTCTATCGTAAAAGAATATATAAAAACTCCTCATTGGTTGGCTTTGGCAAATCGCCTTTATCGTTACAATTCGAAAAATAAATTACATTTTTTAGAATAAAACTAAGATATCTTTTACAAAACTTTGAATAGAGCGAGCTGATTAACTATAATGCTATAATGTACTTATATTATGATTTATAAACAAGTCAGTATACAGTTAATTATTTATTTCTTTCCGAAAATACATCCAAGTCCGCTACAGTCGGCCTCAGTGGATACCTGCACGTCGTAGCAACCGACAATTTCGTTCGTTGACGTGTCCTTGATTTCAGCATGAGCCTTGTAGTCACCCTGTAGATAAAAGTTAAAATTGATTTTTTTTAAATGCTTCCCCAAAACATTTGAATTCTAGATCTGTAGACCTATATAAACATTAGTAAATATAGTACAACTCATAAAAATGTTAATTCCAATCTTCATGATTTTGAGTCTAACAATTCTTTTTCCGTAGTCCTTGAGTGTAATCATTGCTTATTTCAACTGTGCAGTAAACGTTTACATTATGCATTGTAAGAAAGAACTGATAAAAAAATACGATCTTGTCTAAGACATTTAGAAGATTGATAATTGAAAACTTAAACAAAACAAAATAGCTGTTGACTCTGTTTAGTCAAACAGGTAGCAAGTATGACGTCAATTAAAAAATTAAAACAATGACTTAGATGCTCGTTTTAAGTCTATATACATGATATTCATACTAAAAATATACTTGAAAAAAATGATAAATTTTGAAAATAGTGTTACCGAGGCAAGAAATTTCCAGACGCCAGCTAATTCAGGGATTATGAACGTAGTTGGGTTAAGATGGTAAGTTCCGGGCTTGAATGGACATGCGCATGGGAAGTCCGGTGTCGATGTTAGTATTTCGTTCGGACAATGATTGGTATTGTTAAAACTTCTGCCACTCAACAAATCACACAGCTCGTAATGACTTTACAAAAAATGTATAAATGTTTACCATTTAAGCTAAACATTTTCGGTGAATATTCATGAAATTTCATGTGATGACTAAAAATCTATAGATTCGTACCGGAGTCACACTTGTAATTTAAGGGTTGCTGGTCGCTTGGGTTCAAACCCCGTCAAGGGCAAGCCGTTGTTTTACTTGAGCAAGAAACTTTACACTCATAGCTTAATACTGGTTGATTCCAGTAACGGATATTAGAGGGTTTTAATAAGCTTATAGTTTGCAATACTTTCGAACTAAAATAAATTAGTATAAACTAGAAACTATTGAAATTAAGAGGACATACAACAAAAAGTTCTTTTCAGTGGTCAACTGGACGACATGTTTTATGATTATTGTTAATTCACTTATTGGTTGGATATGTTACAGAATGTTTTTATCTTTCCGTTAACTAATGAAATCGTTGTGTTACATATAATCAGACAAGAATCCTTATAAAACTTATTTTCTGTCATGTTGTTTGTAAATACTTTTGTTTTTGACCGTAAGTATTAACAACAGAGTTTAGACACTTACCAACTTCCAACATTACTTATACAAGGAACGCCCACATATCCGAATAAAACTTTCTTGGACACGTGTACATTCAGCTGGAAGTGGTTCCCTGCAATTGGCTGCAGGACTTGTACATCAATGGTACCAGTCTCTGGTCCCGGAATGTGGACTGGATCCGCGCTCAGATGTGCATGTTCGAAGTGTACAATTTTATTTGGACTGTGATCTAGAAAAAAAGAGAACATTATTTAATTTAATAGTATCTTCACTCTTATATTAGTAATAAAGATTTGCGATCGGTCACATGATTCAGTGAACAAGGTTATACGCTTATATTACCCGAGCTGCACGTCTAGGGTTGCAAACATTCGTTTTCAGACAACTATATAAGTTATTAATACGATTAGAAAGTGACATAGAATTCATATTCATCACGTTGAGTGGATTAAATAGTATTAGTGGATTCCTTCAGAGAACAAAATCTATGAATATTAATGATGAATATTTGTTATTTGCTTTAAAGAAAGGAGTCAAATTCGTGTAATCACTTATATCGCAGTAATGGTGTAGCACCATGTGTCTGTTGTTTATATTGGTAAAAGTTGACCTATTTTTTTATACAACTTAAAACGAAGTTTTCAACCAAAATGCACTATATGACGAATTTCTATGTGTACCAAAGAAACAGAACAGCATTTTACTCCTTTCTTTAAAACAAATAACAAATATTTATCATTTATATCCATAGATTTTGTTCTCTGAAGGAATCCACTAATACTATTTAGTCCACTCAACGTCATGTTATCTTATATATGACGTCATAAAATCCTAACGTTTTTACGTTTTTACAATTCATGAACAGACTCGGTCAAACATCATTTCTACATTTTTGCGTAATTAAAACAGCTGACATTTCTTTTTCGTTTTTTTATCCTTTCTACATTGGTATACTGTAGTCACAGTAGCAAGTGCCAGTGCTTTGCGGCAGCTGCTAATAGTATCTTGATGTTGTCATTTACGACGTCACTTCATTTACTTGGTTCCCAGTACTGTGCACGCTGGAATATCACTGACACAACGTAACGGACTTAAATTCAAAACAGTGAAATTATCAAATTGTTATCAGTTTTACATTTCACTGTTATATTTTTATAAACCACCGAAAACCTTGTAATACAACGGCTTTGCTATATCCGTTAATAGCTTGGACATATTCTTAATGTCTATAGAAATAAAGTTAGAAGTTTACTTACTACAGTCCACAAGTTTCAGATGAAGAACGGCAAATGAAGTGGATAACGCACACAGGAAAACAACAAGTCGGAACATTTTTACACTTCAAACATCAAAATCCGTATGTTGAAATGTCTTCAAAATCGGTCAAATAATTTAGATCTGGTGCTGCCAAACAGATAAGCTCACAAGGTCGAACGATAAAAACATTTGACGTCATCGTTATTTTCTAAATTAAGTTGTTTCTAGCACGGTGTGATGAAAGGTTCAAAGGTTACCTTTATAATTGTTCTACATCTTAATGCCAGTTTCAATGTAATTTCATTCATAGATTTGCGATATTTCTACGAAATTTGTTTTTATTCATTTGTCCTATATTCTAGCCCCGATTATTTTTCTTGTGGCCCGAACTTTGACGATATAGATTGACACACTTAAAATAACCGTTCTTATCTTGTTTAAAGTTCGATCCATAATAATGACCGTATTTAGCCTATATAGTGTGACGGACAAATTAAGTGTCTTTGACATCAAGCTTTTGTCAGGACCCCAAGTATGAGCATGATAATATTTTTCATTAATTATACACAGAAACTGTTGCAAAAGAAAGTGTCCTTATGACGTTATGAGTGTTCCATGTAGTCTCAAATAACTTTGTTGATCCATTTACGAGATACTGATACTTAAACACGAAATAAGAAAAGCCACTATTCTGCAAACTTTACTTTTCGCCCTTCAGGTATTAACATGAAGCCAAAATACTGACAAATTTCAATACAAAGTAAACCATTATGTGGTCAATATATATACATTTTTTGCAAATTGTGATACCAAGTTTGCCTCAAATACGTAAACAGAATGTCCATGTAACCAAGTGTACACTTTCTTTTGCAATTGAGTACATGATTAGATTCATAGCAGATTCTAACTCAAATATGTAATCTTCAAGTAACCAACCACTTATAAAGAATGGTCTCAATCACAGACAGGCTCTTGCGCTTAAAAAAGCCATGTAGAATTTTAACAGGAAAGTTTAACTGTAATCTGAAAGGCGACCTTGTGTAATTGTTCACAAATGCAATCTTGTTTTGAATCAATGATTGTACCTTGGCCTTTGTATCTTAACATAAGACACATCATCTTTCATTTCACATGCTGAAACATGACATTGAGCCCAAATTCTAACTAAGTATTTAAGTTATATCACCTGTTAAAGTGTATCATATCACTGTTAATTTCTTAGTATCACAGGAAGTTTTGAGAGAACTATTGGCAATACACCTAGAAGACATATAGGTTCTATATTTTTTCTATCGTAATAGAATATATAAAACTCCTCATTGGTTGGCTTTGGCAAATCGCCTTTATCGTTACAATTCGAAAAATGAATTACATTTTTATGAATTAAACTAAAATATGTTTTACAAAACTTTGAATAGAGCGAGCTGATTAACTATAATGCTAGTAAATTAGTATCTAAGTAAAAGAAAGAAATTGTACGTAAGTTATATTATGATTTATAAACAAGTCAGTATACAGTTAATTATTTATTTCTTTCCGAAAATACATCCAAGACCACTACAGTCGGCCGCAGTGGATACCTGCACGTCGTAGCAGCCGACAATTTCGTTAGTTGATGTGTCCTTGATTTCAGCATGAGCCTTGTAGTCACCCTGCAGACAATATGCTAAGTTAAAACTTTAAATGTTTCCGTAAAACATTTTGAATTGTAGAACTATATAAACATTTCTAAATAAATACATTCCATAAAAATGTAAATTCCAACCCTGAGTCTTACAAACTTCTGTTTTCATAGTCCTTGAGTGTAATTATCGCTTACATGTGTAAACGTTTACATTATGCAATGTAAAAAGAATTGATATGAAAATACGATTTGGTCTATCGGGTTATTGAAAAAAAAGCAAAACAATATAGCTGTTGACTCTGTTTAAATAGTGCTTTAAGGACAGGTAACAAGTAGACTAGGAAAATATGAAGTCACTTAAATGACAAAGATGCTCGTTTTAAGTCTATATACATGATATTCATACTAAAAATATACATGAAAAATTATAAATTTAAAAATAGTGTTACCGCGGCAAGAAATTTCCAGACGCCAGCTAATTCCGGGATGATGAACGTAGTTGGGTTTAGATGGTAAGTTCCGGGCTTGAATGGGCATGCGCATGGGAAGTCCGGTGTCGATGTCAGTATTTCGTTTGGACAATGATTGGCATTGTCAAAACTTCTGCCACTCAACAAATCACACAGCTCGTAATGACTTTACAAAAAATGTATAAATGTTTACAAAATCTATAGATTCGTGCGGAGTGGTTAACGCGTCGGACTTGTAATTTAATGATTGCTGGCCGCGTGGGTTCAAACCCCATTAAGGGAAAGTTTCATTGTTTCATTGAGCAGGAAACTTTACACTCATAGCTTAATACTGGTTGATACCAGGAACGGATTCTAGAGCGTTTTAAAATAACAAGCTTATAGTTTGCAATACATTCGAACTAAAATCAACTAGAAACTATAGAAATTAAGAGGACATACAACAAAATGTTCTTGTTTCATGATTATTGTTAATTCACTTATTGGTTGGATATATTACAGAATGTTTTTATCTTTCCTTTAACAAATGAAACGTTGTGTTACATATAATCAGACAAAAGTCCTTATTAAACTTTTTTTTTCTGCCAAGTTATTTGTAAAGACTTTTGTTTTTGACCGTAAGTATCCACAACAGAGTTCAGACACTTACCAACTTCCAACATTACTTATACAAGGAACGCCCACATATCCGAATAAAACTTTCTTGGCCACGTGTACATTCAGCTGGAAGTGGTTTCCTGCAATTGGCTGCAGGACTTGAACATCAATGGAACCAGTCTCTGGTCCCGGAATGTGGACTGGATCTGCGCTCAGATGTGCATGTTCGAAGTGTATGATTTTATTTGGACTGTGGTCTAGAAAAAAAGATAACATTATTTAATTTATTACCTATACTCCAATATTAGTAATTATAACTGTTGGTTGGTCATATGACTCAGTGAACACGGTTATTAGCTTGTATTACCCGATCTGCACGTCGAGGGATACATAGCTAACATTCGTTTATACACGACTACATAAGTAGTATATATATAATGATGCAAACTACACCTTTCTTACTTTAAAAATGGCACAACATAACGAAAGTTTAAAATACAACCAACCATCTTTCCCACATAGGGTCTCAACCCGGTACGGAATTAGACCCAAACCGTGTCTAGAAAGTAGTTCTTTAAAAATTTGAAGTGGCCCAATTTAAGTCATCTCTAGTTAGATTGGTCATAATTAAAGTGTATTTATTATATTGTGTAGTTTTTGTGTGTTATATGATGACTTTAAAAGTTGTTTTTGTGTATTCTCCAGGAACTCATTTGTTGGCGGATGGATTAAAAATTTACTACCGGCCAGCATAAAAATTTCTGAAAAAAGTAGATGGCTAACCTATTATATTTTCGGCCTCATTGGACTTAGATAGTGTAAATGTTTAAAGTTGAAGACAGTATTTAATTCATCAAGTGAAGAACAGTGGAATTCAGAATTAAACCTCAAATGTGACTGATTTACAAAAGAACAAATAATACCAAAATTCACCGGGCCGAGTCCATAGGAGAAAGGTCAATTTCTAACAGTCGTTTTCCCAGTAGGACAGCGGTGTTTTTATTACATTAGCGAATAAAAATACTGTAACTGGCTCGGTCAACCACAATGAGTGCTTTAAACTACCAATGCATGCACAGGGTCAGTTGAGCCAGTTTCAAAAGATTTCATTTAATCACTATTCAAAGCGTCATATTTAGATATTTAGTCAAATGGCCAGCCCTTCTATAGGAAAAGCTCTTTTTTGTTTCCTTATCAATTAGCCATATGTAACTTGTCTTAAACAGACGACTTATAGTAGCTCATCCAAACGCATTGTCCCTATACAAAAAAGCAGTGCGATAACAGGAGGTTAGATTAACCTAGGGCTATACAACATTTTGTATTCATCAAATAGTATTAGGGGATTCTTTCAGAGAACAAAATCATTGGATATAAATGATGAATATTTGTTATTTGTTTTAAAGAAAGGAGTAAAATGCTGTTCTGTTCCTTTGGTACACAGAAATTTGACATACAGAGTATGTTGGTTGAAAACTTCTTTTTAAGTTGCATGAAAAAGATAAGTTAACTTTGACCAATGTAAAAAACAGACACATGGTACTACACAATTTCCGTGATAATGTAATTTTACTATTTTTTTTCCGCGTAACTTCATGTAATCTAATTCATGAAGTCATTAAATCCTAAGGTTTTTACGTTTTTTACGATTTATGAACAGACTCGGTCAAACATCTTTACGTATATGTTAGTGTTCATCCGTGCTGTTCTACAGAAATTAGAAACTTCGACGGGAGGAGTATGTTTCTAATTTCTGTGGAACAGCTACGGATGAATACTAACATATTTAGTGTCAAACTTTATTTGGCCTCATAATCATTCACTTTATTAAGTCACTATGCCGTTCTATGAAGTACTATGAAAAATAGAAGTCGACTATGAACGGAATTCGATATAGTTTCGACTTTTGTTCTTCTATGAAAATTAACGCACAGAATTTTTAAGAAATACAGCGTTTTCATTGGATGACAAATAAAGCTAGACATTAAAACATTTTTGCGTAATTGATTTTGTTGACATTACTTTTTCGGGTTTTTACCCTTTCCATATCAGCAAGTGTCAAGTGTTGTGCGGCAGCTGTTATAGTAGTATCTGAATGTTGTTTCCGGTCTTTCGGGTTCGCTCAGTGTCGTGTGCAAACTGTACCAATTAAACTATTTGATTTTAGTAATATTTATTTTTGTTCATTGCATTACCGTTTCAAAATTTGTTTTTGTCCTTTTGATTTGTCGTTTATAATTTATAATTGTGGAGTATTATATCGCATTGCCATCATATGTGTATGGTATCGCATTATCATGTGCCATATCCTATTTGGATGTTAGGATATTTCTTTGGTTCAGTGTAAGTTCGGAATTTCTTGCATATCAGACAGGATTATCTACCGTTTTCACCGGTGCTAGAAAACTCTATCTTACACCCCCATGTAAGACAAGTCGCGTGTTTTAAATGACGTCATTGACGCGACAATGAAGTTGTAAGATCATACGCTACTCGCCCATTCTCAATAAAATAAAGCATTTGAGGTTGAAAAATATTAAAAATTTGATGTTGTCATTGTGTCATTTTTTATCGCTGAAGTAAAAGTTTAGGATATTTTGCAAGTTTGCAAAAGAAATATTTTCAACAAGAAGTTATAATATAACAGGATGGCATTTATTTCGGTAATGACACTGTATTTCCTCGGTAACGTAGATTTCAGATCTAATATTGTAACATATTGGCTGCATATGAATAACAAATGTCTGTAAAATATATCAAAATCTGTAAATTCTCTATCTAGAGGAACTTTCTAACCCAGGAAAATTCAAGGAAGTTGGGTACCTTGCTAATTTTCAGTTAATTTCTTCAAAGTTAAATACTCGTAGAAAGCAAAAAGAGTCAATTTTGGAAATGATTATTTTATGTCTTCATTCAAAGGATAGATATCATATATAATAAATGAGAGGTCGAATGCATACATAAATGTTGTATTTAGAATTTTTTTTAGAAAACATTCAACTTTCCACTTTCTTCATATAAGGAAAATTTATTGCTAAGCAGTTCTATATTTATCCCCATGTAGGATGTCACGTATGTTTCATTTTATTCAAATACAAGTAAAGGTTACGAAAACAATTTTATTTTTTGTAAAATAATTTGTATTTATGGATATTATTTTAACATTATTATATATAGAATGAAATACGGCCAGTATAAGCTCTTTGCAGATCCAATCAGTTGTTGCTGAGAACCTCAATATCTTGTAATATATTTTTAACATTTCTGCTGGTACATCAACATATTATTAACATATCTTTCCTTTGCAAAAACACTTTTGTATCTTCTTACATCTAATACAAGGTAACCGTTACTAACAGGCATGCTAATCCAAATTTTATCTTTAATTTTCAAAAACTGTTGAATTGTAAGTTGGAGTAACGTATGTTTCACACTGGCTTATTTATGAACTTTATAACGGAATTGAAATCAACTGTTTTATTTAGGAATCAAATGTACATCATTTTATTGTCATAAAAATGCGATTTTATGTTTTTATATGTGCATGTGTAAACAATATAAAGTCTGTTTGATAAAAGTAACGTTTGTTTCACTGTGGTTACTTAAACAAGCTAAAACTCGACCAAAGTTAACAAAATTTACTTACTTATGTCAAATTGAAGTTTGTGTTGCTGTTATACGTGCTTTCTGACTTCAATTTCCCTTTTGATAAAATTACTTTAAAAAGTTGGTAACGTATGTTTCTGTAACGTATGTTTCATTTTTATAATGAAAGTGGGTTGAAAAATGATGGGAGAGCGTATAACCCGCCATAATTTGAGGTTTATATATCAGAGTTACACACATGTTAATTTTCTTTCTTGTTTGGAGTCTTCTTTGAATGGATTAGCTCTTAAACAATGGTAACGTATGTTTCTTTTTAAAATGCTGTTGAAAAAATGTGAATAAAAAATAAAGAATTCCGAAAATAGAATGATATTTGAGAGGCTGCAAGCTTATTTTTAATTATAATTACATATATGCTGTATTATTAAGCATGTATCGATTTAATTATGTAATTTCTGTTTCACTTCTAACTGTTTTAGGTTTGTCACTATTTATTTATATGCATTTGGCGACATTTGATCATCCATTATGTCAATGAGGTTTTAACAGTCAAATTAAATTTTTACCAATAATCAGTGTATATACACGCAGCAATGACTAATTGCACATCGGTTTCGTTTATTCTGGAACTTATTTTTCTGAAACACATTTTCAAAGTTTAAAATTATAGTTGGCGACAGTAACGTATGTTACATTTTAGGGCATTAATGGTACTTGTAAAAGAAAAATAACAGATAGAAATGTAAAACTGAGGAAGTCCCTATTAGAAATAGTGGCAGCCACCTTTCTAACGACATTTTGACCTCAAGAAAAACCTTCGTATAGGAGCTACCCAGTGGAACATCAAATGCTGTGTTTTATTGAGAATTAGCGTTCTATAAGAAAAAAGTGCGTTACAAGAATATCCGTTTTTGTAATTTCTATTCTGAAAATAATTGATATGTAATATGCAAGAAAGAGAATCAAACACCGGCTATCTCGACAGAGCCTCGTTACCGCCGTAAACAATTACCCTCGAGCTAGATATTCCGGTCTGTACCGGCAGCCAGTGTAAGATTCTTATAATATTAGGTGTATTTCACGAGTGGCAGAGCCACGAGTGAAATAGTAACTTTTGGTGTTGACGAGGTGAAATATATTTCGATCTTACACTAAACTAAATATTTTTTTTATTATATGCAAAGAAACGTTTAAAAAGACAGTTTAACCTAAAACTAAATGAAAAGCGCGCAAAAATAATACATCGTAACGCCATTTACGACGTCACTTCATTACCTTGGTTCCCAGTGCTGTACACGCTGGTATATCACTGAAACAACGTTACGGGCCTTTAAAAATTCAAAACAGTGAAATTATCAAATTGATAATTTCACTGTTTCAAACAGTGAAATATCAGTTTTATATTTCACTGTTATATTTCTATAAATCAAAGAAAAGCATTTAATAAAATGGCTTCGTAATAAAACGGCTTCGCTATATCCGTGAATAGTTTATACATATTCTCTATGTCTATAGAAATAAAGTTAGAAGTTTACTTACTACAGTCCACGAGTTTCAGATGAAGAACGGCAAATGAAGTGGATAACGCACACAGGAAAATAACAAGTCGGAACATTTTTACACTTCAAACATCAAAATCCCTATGATGAAATGTATCCAAAATTGGTCATATAATTTAGATCTGGTGCTGCCAAACAGATAAGCGCGCGAGGTCGAACGATAAAAACATTTTACGTCATCTTTTTAATGGAACGCCATAGCTACCTCATGTTATTACATTTCTTTTTATCTTGCCTAGAAAGCGTCTTATTATGTCAAATAAAGTGTTGTGTTGTCATAGTATTTTGTCGACTTGTCTAAATATTGCATGATTATGCGTAACAAAAGTCTAATGTCTGCAAAATGTGATGTTGACTTGTCTCAATTTTGTTTTTTTTATTTCAAACAGTAGTGTTATCATGTCAAAATGTCATTTTGGCTTGTCTGAAATGTGTCATATTATGTCAACTAGTCGCGCAAAGTTTGGTCAAATTGTGGAGCTGTTTTGTCAAAAGACTGTCTGATCAAATTAAAACGGTAGTGTTCTCTTGTCGAACTTTGGTGTTGACTTGTCAAAGCACATGTTCATTTTATCAAACTGCTATGATATTTTGTTTATTGTCTTATTGTGTCAAACAGAAGTGTTTCTTTGCCAACGCACACTACTGAATTGTCTTATTATATCAAATATTCGCATTATTTTGCCGAAATGGGGTGTTGACTGGACTAAATCATGCCTTATTATGATGAACTGTATGCTATTTTGTCAAAAAGCAGTTTTGACTGGTTAAAACTCAATCTTATAAAATCAAAAAGTTGCGGTATCTTGTCGAAATGTGGTAAATGACTTGTCAAAACTCGGTCTTATAATGTAAAACAGAAGTGCTATATTGTCAAAATTTGATGTTTAATTGTTAAAAACAAAAACAGTCTTATTATGTCTAATAATTGTGTTATTTTGTTCAAATTTACTTCTGTCTTGAGAAAGCGTTGTCTGATTTTGTTAAACTGCCCCGTTATCTTTTTTGCTCTATCATTTCACGCTCTGCGCGGGCTCTGGTCACGTGATACTAAATTTGGACAATATCGCATCTGGACAGGATAACACGATTATCTGACATAATAAGACGGTATTTCGACAAGTTAACGTAACAAATTGTCAGGTCAACGCCACTGTATTAAATAATGATACTGTGTTTTAACTAGTCAACACCACATTTGAAAAGGAAAAATGATTCTTCGCCATAAAAGGACGATGCTTAGTCTAATTAACATCGAACCTTGATAAATAAAATGACACTTTGACAAAAAGAAAGTAATTTTAAACAAGTCATTACCACGTTTCGACAAGATGATATGATAATTTGACATAATAAGACGAATCTAGACAAGTTAAATCTACATTTGGACATAATAGCATGACAGTTTGACAAACTTAAATAGCGTTTTAACAGTTTATAACCATAATTTGTAAAGATACCACCATTATTTCACATAACAAGTTGGTGTTTAGGCAGGTTAACATAAATTTCGGATAAAATAGCAATGCGATCTGAGAAAATAAGGCAGTGTTTAGACATGAATACCATCTTTCGACAAGTCAACAATACTGTTTGGCATAATAAGATACCGTTTACACAATATAAAAAAGGTTCATTGGCAAGTCAATACTAGTATCTCACAGAATAAGTATATTTTTAGACAGGATTACAACAGTTTTAGACAAGGAAGCATGATTTTTTGGCACAATAAGACAGAATAACGCCACCTCGTACAAAGCAACATAACAGTGTGACAAAACAGGACAATACTCAGACAAGTCAATATAACCGTTGAACAAGATAACACTACTAGCCGACACGAAAAGACATGAGTTTGACAAGTTAACACCAAGTTCTGACAAGATAACAGTACTGTTTCATATTATAAGACAATTTCTTGACAATTTACCACCACAGTTGGACAAGACAGCATACTATTTTGGCATAAAATACATTCTTTTGGCAAGATAACACCGAATTTGAACACAATGACATGGCAATCTGACAAAATGTGACGGTGTTTAGACAAGTCAATACCGCATCATGCTTTCTTGTCTTAAACTGTTGTTATCTTGTCTAAAAATATACTTATAATGTGAAATACTAATGTTGACTTGCCAATAAATTTTGTTTGTTTGTGTAGACGTTATTTTATTATGTCAAACAGTATTGTTGACTTGTCGAAAGATGGTATTGACATGTCTAAACACTGCCTTATTTTCTCAGATCACCATGCTGTTTTGTCCAAACTTTATGTTAACCGGCCTAAACACCGTCTTATTTTGTGTAATAATGGTGGTATCTTAACAAATTATGGTTATGAACTGTTAAAACGCTATTTTAGTTTGTCAAACTGTCATGCTATTATGTCCAAATGCAGATTCAACTTATTCGTCTTATTATGTCAAATATTCATATCATCTTTGTCAAAGTGTCATTTTATTTTGTCATGTTTCGGTGTTAATTTTACTAAACATCGTCCTTTTATGGCGAAGTATCATTTTTCCTTTTCAAATGTGGTGTTTACTTGTTGAAACACAGTATCATTATGTTATACAGTGGCGTTGACTTTCCAGTTTATGACGTAATCATGTCTAAATACCGTTTCATTATGTCAGATAATCGTGTTATCCTGTCCAGATGCGATGTTGTCAAAATTTAGCATCACGTGACCAGAGCCCGCGCGGAGCGTAAAAAGATAAAGAGCAAAAAATATGGAACGCCATAGCTGCCTCATGTTGTTACATTTCGTTTTATTTTTCCATAAAAGCGTCTTATTATGTATAATAGAAGTGTTGGCTTGCCAACATTTTATGGGAATCTGTCTTAACGAAGACTTATTAGGTCAAATATTCATATTATCTTGTCAAAACGTAGTGCTGACTTGTCTAAGCACTGTCTTATTATTTCAAAACGTCATGTTATCATGTGCAAATCCGGTGTTAACATGCCGAATGGAAGTCTTAATATGTCTAAAATGCACACCAACTTTTCGAATTATGATTTCATTATGTTCGTACAAAGACTTGTTTAAATGTGGTGTTGAATTGTTGTGAAACAGTAGTGTAATCTTGTCGGAAGTTGGTGTCATTTTGTCCAAATGTGATCCTGGTATGCTATGACACTGTTGTATTATGTTATACTGTCGTTTTGACTTGTCCAGATGTGATATTGATGTGTCTATACACCGTCACATTTTGTCAGACTGCCATGTCATTGTGTTCAAATTCGGTGTTATCTTGCTTAAAGAATGTCTTTTATGTCAAAATAGTATGCTGTCTTGTCCTACTGTGGTGGTAATTTGTCTAGAAATTGTCTTATTATGTGAAACAGTAGTGTTATCTTGTCGGAACTTGCTGTCAATTGTCAAACTCATGTCTTATTATGTCGGATAGTAGTGATATCGTGTTCAACCGTTATATTGACCTGGCTGAGTGCTGTCCTGTTTTGTCACACTGTTATGTTGCTTTGTATGAGGTGGTGTCATTCTGTCTTATTATGCCAAAACATCATGCTGTCTTGTCTAAAACTGTTGTAATCCTGTCTAAAAATATACTAATTATGTGAAATGCTCTTGTTGACTTGCCAATAAATTTTGTTTGTTTGTGTAAACGTTATTTTATTATGTCAAACAGTATTGTTGACTTGTCGAAAAATGGTATTGACATGTCTAAACACTGTCTTATTTTCTCAGATCGCCATGCTATTTTATCCAAACTTTATGTTAACCGGCCTAAACACCGTCTTATTATGTGAAATAATGATGGTATCTTTACAAATTATTGTAATGAACTGTTAAAACGCTATTTTAATTTGTCAAACTGTCATGTTATTATGTCCAAATGCAGATTCAACTTGTCTATCTTCGTCTTATTGTGTCAAATAGTTATATCGTCTTGTCGAAACGTGGTGATGACTTGTCTAAAATCTTTTTGTCGAAGTGTCATTTTATTTTGTCAAGGTTCGGTGTTATTTTTACTAAACATCGTCCTTTTAGGCGAAGTATCTTTTTTTTTCCTTTTCAAATGTGGTGTTTACTTATTGAAACACAGTATCATTATGTAATACAGTGGCGTTGACTTGCCAGTTTATGGCGTTAACATGTCTTAATGCCGTCTCATTATGTCAGATAATCGTGTTATCCTGCCAGATGTGATGTTGTCAAAATTTAGCATCACGTGACCAGAGCGCGCGCGGAGCGATAAGAGATAGAGCAAAAAAGATAACGGGACAGTTCAGCAAAATCAAACAGCGCCTTCTCAAGACAGAACTAAATTTGAAGAAATTTACACAATTATTAGACATAATAAGACTGTTTCTGTGTTTTACAAGAATACATCAAATTTCGACAATATAACACTTCTGTTTTACATTATAAGAAAAAGTTAAGACAAGTCATTACCACATTTCGACAAGATACCGCAATTTTTTGACTTTATAAGACTGAGATTTAACCGGTCAAAAATGCTTTTTGACAAAATAGCATACAGTTTATCATGATAAGGCAGGATTTAGCCCAGTCAACACTAATTTTCGGCAAGATAATTCGAATATTTGATATAAAAAGACAATTCAGTAGTGAACGTTGGCAAATTAACACAGTTGTTTGACGCAATAAGACAATGTTTAGGCATTTAAACACCGTATTTTGACACAATAACATGGCAGTTTGATAAAATAAAGCTGTGCTTTTACAAGTCAACACCAAATTTCGACAAGAGAACACTACTGATTCAAATGATCAGACAGTCTTTTGAAAAAACAGCTCCACAATTTGATCAAATAGCGCGACTAGTTGACATAATAAAACACATTTCAGACAAGCCAAAACGACATGTTTGACATTATAACACTACTATTTGAAATAATTAAACAATTTTAACACAGGCCAACATCACATTTTGAAGAGATAAGACTACTGTTTGGTATAATAAGGCAATGTTTAGACAAGTCGACAAATTACAATGACATTACAACGCTTTTATTTGAGATAATAAGACGCTTTCTGGGCAAGATAAAATGAAATGTAATAACATAAGGCAGCTACGGCGTTCCATAAAAAAGATAAAAGGACAGTTTATTAAAATCAGACAGCGCTTTCTCAAGACAGAACTAAATTTGAACAAATTTACACAATTATTAGACATAATAAGACTGTTTCTGTGTTTTACAAGAAAACATCAAATTTCGACAATATAACACGTCTGTTTTACATTATAAGAAAGAGTTTAGACAAGTCATTTCCACATTTCGACAAGATACCGCAATTTTTTGACTTTATAAGACTGAGTTTTAACCAGTCAAAACCGCTTTTTGACAAAATAGCATACAGATTATCATAATAAGGCATGATTTAGCCAAGTAAACACCCTATTTCGGCAATATTATTCGAATATTTGATATAAAAAGACAATTCAGTAGTGAACGTTGGCAAATAAACATACATGTAGTTGTTTGACCCAATAAGACAATGTAAAGGCATTTCAACACCGTATTTTGACAAAATAACATGGCAGTTTGATAAAATAAGCTGTGCTTTTACAAGTCAATACCGTATTTCGAGAAGAGAACACTACCGTTTCAAATGATCAGACAGTCATTTGACAAAAGAGCTCCACAATTTGACCAAATAGCGCGACTAGTTGACATAATATGACACTTTTCAGACAAGCCAAAACGATATTTTGACATGATAACACTACTGTTTGAAATAATTAAACAATGTTATGACAAGTCAACATCACATTTTAAAGAAATAAGACTACTGTTACACATAATAAGGCAATGTTTAGACAAGTCGACAAATTACAATGGCATTATAACGCTTATATTTAACATAATAAGACGCTTTCTAGGCAAGATAAAAAGAAATATAATAACATGAGGCAGCTATGGCGTTCCATAGTTCTACATCTTCAGTTTCAATGTTGTTTCATTCATAGATTTGCGATATTTCTACAAAATTTGTTTTTATTCATTTTTCCTATACTCTAGCCCAGATCTTTTTTCTTGTAGCCCCGAACTATAACGATATAGATTGACACACTTAAAACGACCGTTCTTATCTGGTTTTAAGTTCGATCCATAATAATGACCATATTTAGCTTTTATAGTGTCACGGACAAAAGCGTCTTTGACATTAAGCTTTTGTCAGGACCCCAAGTATAAGCTTGATACTATTTTTCATTAAATATACAGACACACAGTGTTCATATGACGTTATGAGTGTTCCATGTAGTCTTAAATACTTTTGTTGGTCCATTTACGAGATGGGCGCAGCAGATACTGATTTTCTATTCACGATATTAGACAAATTAAACGTTAAAAAGTCACAATTCTGCAACTTTTACTTTTCGCCCTTCAGCTATTTACATGAAGCCACAATACTGACAACTTTCAATACAAAGTAAATCATTATACGGTTAATACATTTTTGCAAATTATGATATACGAAAACAGAATGTCCAAGTAACAAAGTACGCACTTTCTTTCGCAAGTGAGTATATGAAGTCACAGCAGATTCTAACTCAAATATGTAACCTTATTTCTAGTTCATGTAGTTCGCAAAGCACTTTGTAAGAATGATCTCAATTACAGGCTCTTGCGCTTAGTTTAAGAAAACCATGTAGAATTTTAACTAGAAAGTTGAACTGTAACATGAAAGGCGACCTTGTGCTATAGAATACTTTTAGATGACTCCAAATAAAACGTTATCTTTTCCACACCTGGTGTTGACTATTAATTGAATAAAATGAGCAAAAAGGAAGTCACGTCGGTCCAAGCAATAGACAATTGGTTGAATTCCAAAAGTATATTTAGACTATATTGTAGAAGTAAGATAATTAATCTGTCTTTGGCACGTATACCTCCGAGTCGGTCTATATTCTGTCGACTCCGTTATGTTTATTTTGTTATTCTAGTTGACAATAAATCTTGGTCCTTGTTACACTGGTCGCTATAAGAAAATGATTGTGAAAACTATGCCTACTATTTACGAATGCATGTTTATATTGATAAACGCCGCGAAAACTTTAGTTTACGTTACTGTTTAAGAAATAAACAATACGTTACTTTAACTATAAATAAATAAAAATAATATGTTATTGTACATAAACAATACATTACTGTGCATATCAAAAAATAAAATGTTATTGTACATAACCAAAATATTAATGTACATTAACGTAATAATTTTTAACAATGTGATAAATAAACAATAAATTAAAAAGAATTTGTGACTATATTAAAATTAATACTATATCAAAATATCAATCTCCATTACTGAACGAAAAAAGCATCATATGTAAATATATAAAGGCTAGAAGTACATCACAAAACATTTCTAAAAGGCGATCAAAAAGTCGGTCACATTTGTAATATTGTGCCTGTTTTTGGTAAATATTAAGGCTATGGTGTTAAAGATAATAAGCCTATCTGTAAGGCCTATATATTCTTAATTTTAAAACGATTGGCATATATGTATGCCAAATCTTATTATAATCATCTTTGGGGTTTTCTTAAGAATAAATAATGAAAGAATCTAATAAATGTAATACAAATTCTATTACGTGTAGAAAATATCTTATAACGTATTTTTCTAAACTGTACAAAACATATCAGGTGCAGTGAAATAACTATTTTTTAAACTATATTTTCTGCTGCAACAAAATAACTTTTAACAAAATATCTTGTTTTAACATATTATTTAAAATAACAAATTAACATTTCTTTTTATGTTTATACATATTCATTTCAATTTCAAAGAAAACACAGTGTCTAACACACAGACAAGACTTTAACTAAATATCAATTACACCGTATCTAAAAGTGTCAAAATGAGTGCCACATAATTACAGCCACAGTTGTTAACACGGCACCGGAATATGCTGTCCTACCACCAAGGCCACCTGATTGGTGCTCTCTGAACGGAAAACTCTAAGACGTAACAAGAAACCACCTCTGACGTATTCTCATCAATTAGGCTGCCAGTCACACGAAAATCGCCCTTAAATGATAAATATAAAGATAAGAAACAAAATTAATTACAGCTTCCAAATTGTATGAATTCAGGAGAGCATGTCCGAAACGAAATGTTTAAATATATGAAAATCAATATTTGTTTTGGTTGCAAGCCGTCAAGGTGTCAAAGTACTCTCCCAGACGCGGGTACCGCACAGAAACTTGTAACAATCTGCCAAACGATCCACTACAATCAAATTAAGAACAGAATTAGTTACTTTGGATTTTTGCTGTTAGTGTCAGTCATTGATTTTTCCTTCCAAAAGAAAAAAATGGTTTCTTAGCTTTGAATATGTTAAACATCATCACATGTGGATCAAGTTTTTGATTTTCATTCGAAATCTATTTCATGTTTATTTTTCTTTCGCTCAAGCAAATATTTAAAAATCTTCATTTTTAAAATATCATTTTGAACACCCTCAATGGCTCGATTTTGTAAATACATAATAATATTATTGTTAATTTCAGAACAGAAAAAGGTTATTACATTCGAGTGATTTATATTACTGCTAAAGTGTTAACAACTTTTAAATTTGTAAAAATTCACAGTATAAACATTAAAAAAAAAGAATAACGAAACAAAACATGTCGAAATCGAAAGTCGATACTGTGAGAAAAAGTTCGTTTTGACAGTTTCATTTACGGCAATTGTCCGACAGGATTACCGGATCAGATACAACAAAAAACAGACGCATGTTAACCCCACTTATTCACAGCAATATAATAATAATATGAGCCGCGTCACGACAAAACCAACATAATGGGTTTGCGACCAGCATGGATCCAGACCAGCCTGCGCATCCGCGCAGTCTGATCAGGATCCATGCTGTTCGCTTACAAACCCTATTACAAGTAGAGAAACTGATAGCGAACAGAATGGATCCTGATCAGACTGCGCGGATGCGCAGGCTGGTCTGGATCCATGCTGGTCGCAAACCCATTATGTTGGTTTTGTCGTGACGCGGCTCATATCATTTTATTTAAATACATGTACATGTACTTGTATTTTCCTCCATATTTGGAACTTACATATGCTATCCATTGCCAAACGCTATTCAATGTCGGCACGGAGAATGGATGAGGGTCAAGGGTGTATGTACCGTTTGAAAACGGACACGTGCATGGAAAATTGCTTTCTTCTAATTGCCATGGACAACCACGATCTTCAAACCATGAAAGGAGGTCACATAGGTCATATGAACTGTAGTAAAAAGAGATAAAAAGAGGTTATCGCAGAAAACATTTCGCTGAAAGATTCAAAACAATGATATTCGTATAAAAATGAGCCCTGGTTTTTTCATATTGAAAATAATTGAGAATTTATTATAAAATATAGTTTGTATGTACTATATGATTCTATTAAATACGAATTTTGTGCATTTTGTATGAAAATGTCGGAACAATGTGTTATACACTAGGTATCAAAAAGTTGTTTTTTTTTCATTCATCGTTGATGAAGTTACAATAGATAGAATAATTAATACTCATTCTCAAACGTTTTTTTCTAAAAGCATAAAATGTAAACTTTTAAAGTATAACTCTTGAAATATGAAATACAAATTTATAAAAGATTGTATCAAAAGGCATCAAAAACACGTGGTTTTGACTGAATTGGGTCCGTATTCTAAAATAAATCATACTAATTAACAAATAGGTAAAAACAAGTAACATACCAACTACCAACGTTTGAAATGCACGGTAGTGTAAAGTAGTCAAATACGATCCATTTTTGGATTTCAGCGTCCAACCTCAGATGTCCAGTGGCAGTGAGTGGTCTATTTATATCAACTCTAGCTGTCACCCGAATATCTCCTGGAAATTCGATTGGGTGCTGTGTGAGACGCCCTGTTAGTGTCACCAGTCTATTCTCAGCTGTAATCAGAACACTAAATAAAGTTTCCTTTTAAAAGGAAAGGGTTGCACAGTTGTGCCTTCATAAAGTGTTTCTTTAGTTGTTTTTTTTTTGTAAAAACGAATATTTTTTTGTCAAAACAATTTGAAATCTATTCTCTATTGTATAAAACTTGTAAAGAAAATAATCAATCATAAAAATACTAACTATTCTATCATACTGAAAAGGAAACAATTGTGAACATTTCATTTCAAGAGAAATCATTCGTTTTGGCAGTTGCTAATTTCATTTATATAGCATCTTTATGGACAAGTAAATGCACTAAAATACTTCGTTACGTGGTACCAATTAATAAGCATGTATCAACTATGTTACACAACCACAGATACGGTAAGGTTAATGATATGCATGGGCTATTTTTAGATTACCTCACTGCGTTCATTAGATCTAAATATAACTCGATCATGCACTAATATTCTCTGTGATTTGGTAAGCAAGACCACCCTTTGGAGACGTAACCATCCTCTATTGTATAAGGTATATATGTCAATTAACATACAAAACTAATACAGACAAAAACAATTATAAAAGAAACTAACTTTTGCGTCTTGAAAAAGAATTGAAACGTAACAATTTCGTTTATAATTTATTACGGTTTAAACCGATAAATCAAGTGAAAAAAGGAATCCTATTTATATAAACAAACTGGGATTACCGAAGTAACTAAAATAGCTTAGATTTCCGTAATATTACCTCGTCTGATTCCGCAGTATGACGGAATCGCCCTAATTGTCACGATTGCAAACGGAACTACATCGGCTATAATCATTAAACCGAAGAGTGACGGAAAGGGCCAAAAAGTTGCGATTGGCACGATTGCAGTTGGTTTCTCGTTCAATCATGCACTAACAAATGTAAGCAGGAAACCACCTAACCGGAACAAGTTTTCCAAAACAAATGGGCTTGCAGCCGTGGCTGCAAGCCAATAATCATGGGTTGTGCGTAACTAAAAACTTAAATAAAGGATATTTTAGTACTTCTTAGCCTATAAGTAAGCAAAATGTCACAAGATAACTAAAACGATAAAATAGGATAGTTCAGTTCTTCTTAGCCTAAGTAAATAATACTACAATAATATTTACAGAACTAAAACAGTAATAAAGGACATTGTAGCACTTCTAAGTGTTAGTGTTGTCAAAATATATTGACGCGCCAAACCTAGATTCTGAGATATGTTTGTTCTGGGTCAGAATCTCGCTTGTTCGAGGGGAGATATTGCCCAACAAAATCTCACTGCAAAGTACAAACAGTTGGACTAAGTGTAAGATGAGTTTCGCGGTTCTAAAATTGGTAGTCAAGGCTATTTTAGTGCATTAAAGCTAAAAAACAGAATACTACCATGGGATTCATGTAAGAAAATACGGCATTCAAATTGTTTTATAGTACTCATGAATCTAAATCTATTCATATTCGATACGGTATGGTCCATGCGAGGGTCTTTCAAACAGAAAATGGAAGACCAATTTCATACTAAATATAAGAAACAACTATTTTGTTTTTCTTTGAAATTTCACCTCTACATTTTACGTCATTTATGAGAAATAGGACGGAAATATGTACAGAAATGACACCGCGAAGTATTTTGAAATGTTTTTTTTTTTTTTAAATCAATATACGGAATATAGAACAAGTAGAAATAAGTCAGTCGGTTAAAGATGAAAGGATCTCGTAAGTGATCGTTCTGTACAGATATATTCTAACTATAAAATACAAAATAAGGCATTTGAAAAGAAATTATTTGTAATAGTAAATATAAATAAATAAATTAATTAATTAATTAATTAATAAATCAGTCCGTGCGTGCGTGCGTCCGTTCGTCAATCAATCAATCAAACAATCAAACAAACAATCAATTCATTAATCAATTAATCAATTAAATATATAATCATATAATCAATTGAATAGATAGATAGAAAAATAAATATTTGAAAGAATACTTACCGCAATCTGTGAGGCTGAAAGGTGTATAAGCCACGATAATTCTAGACAAGTAAACCACTAACAATGTTTTTATAAGTAACATTTTTTTCTGCACTCACTTCTATAAAGGTTGTAGGAACACTGTCAGAGTTAGCAACTGTCTATGTATAAAAACCAATTGTTTGCCAATTATATGTGTACTATATTTGGCAAAGTATCAAAATAGTTAAATGATGCTGACCACTTTTGACACTGATCAATTGATCATTTTGTTACATCTGACAAACGCTTGAATTTGTAATTCCTGTTCATATCAAAATGTACTGATTTATTTTCCGAAAGAAAAAAACCCACACACACACATACAAAAAAAGGCCAAAGAAAAAAGCAAAAAAAAAAAAACGAAAACAAAAAACAACAAAAAAACTTGTAACGTAAACAGAACACTTGACTTATAAGTAAATTACTGTGTCAAGCATGGCTTTGAAAGTCGAAGTTCATTTTCGTACATATCATATTATTATGTACTTTACTACGCTCCTCTATTCAGATACATACATGAGTTTTTATACGTGTATTAGATAACTACACTCGCTTAATTTCTAGCACAAAGTTATAAAACACTGATGATGCAATGTTTAATGCATTTTCTTAGTAATGCATGGCCGCCTACTGCGGAAGCTTCATACAGTCTTTCCAAAGTACTTATTCATTATCAATTTACTAAGCTTTCAAGTACAGACGTTGTTTATAATTGGGAAATACAACAATAACAGCTTTGTGTCTTTTCTTGTTAAAGAGTGAAATACAAGTATGTCTAGTTTGAAGACAAGTGTTCAAAGAAAAACTTTTCAGTGCGTATTATATAAGTTAATCATACCTCTTTTTTAAGATTACTGTAAAAGTTAAACATTAAAGGGCGCCTTTGATGATATAACATAGTAAATTATTTGTATGTATTTTCATAATTAAAGTTTAATGTTGCTGTTTCTCTGCATTAGTTCAACAGATTTATAAACGATAGGTCAATATAATAATAAAAATAATAATAATAATAATAATAATAAATTAATACTATTAATATCACTACTATTATTATTTCTTTTACGTATATCATAATAAACATTACAAGTACCAAAAACACTGGTATTCATCCTCTATAATATAACTTGAATTACAAATCAAACAATATCACTCACTGTGTTCAATATTCTACAATTAGCATATTTCTATTTTCAATTAGTGGAAAAGCACTCTAACCTTTACAAAAGTGATTTTAAATGTGTGTGTATGTGTGTGTGCGTGCGTGCGTGCGTGCGTGTGTCTTTTGTTGTTCTTTTTGGCATTATATCAAGATACAGTGAATACTTTTTCCTATATGTTTGTAAAAGTTATTGACCAGTTGCTCTAAATGAGTTTAGACGGGCAGATATTTCTTGGTTATATCTAGTTTGGGGCTTTTTCTCTTACCATGAATTACTTTGTAGCGAACAGGTTAGGTTTTTTAGAAATCAATACAGTCTTATAAATTAAGTATTTATGATAAAATTTATCACTTGAAAAATATACAAAATACCTAATTGCTTTTGTGGTTGGTTGAACGTTAGCTCTGTTTCTGATTATATATGTTAATAAATAAGTGATTTGATATTGGCCCGGTTATTTGTCCGATGGCAGTCGTATTAGTCCGAGGCCTTCGGTCCTGTTTTAAGGCAGGCCATCGTGTTATTGAGCGTGGCAGGTGCTTTTTATAGGACTAATAACGTATAGTTATTTAATAACTACAATTATAAAATAATTCATGTATAACTAACTATACATAAAAAACCCACAAAAAAAACCAACAATTTTCTCTATATATCCCTAGTCGTTCTTCTGTACACCCCTGCAGTTAAATGCCCAACATGTAAATGCTTTGAAAATAGCAGAGTTTATTCGATGTTAAACTAAATAGAAACCAAAATACTTTAAAGTACATGAGAGCATTTTAAAAAGTGGTATCTTATTACATTCGTGTACTACATACACTTTATTCAAGTTTATGTTTAGGTGAAATTAATTTTTACATCAGCTATTTACATGAAAGTCTATACGAAATTCATTATCGTATACATCCTTTTCTTTTCTTAGAAGGAAATGTAACTTTTAATATTTTCAAGAAGTACTCTTACTTAAAAACATCAACTTATTTGAAGTGTTTCCTTGTTTGTTTTTCTGGTAAAACAGCCAGCATCCAGTGTATATGTAAGCAAAATATGACAAGTAGCACTTTAAAGAAATTAATTTCTCGAATTGCATTGGCTGACCAGTTTGTTACAAATAATTATCTTATAAACATTTATATTGGCGAGTCCTCCAGAAGATAATCATTTTAGAATTGGGAGGATACTGCAGGATACAGAAAGATGTCCCAATTCCAGAAACTTCTCCTGTTTCTTTAGAGTGTTAAGTGTTTAAGCACTTATATACGGGACCTCGATTTAAAGTCTTATCCTAAATGCTGCTTGGTAATATTAGTTGGCCAGCCCGAGAATCGAACCTATTAACAATGTCGAGTATTCAAGTCTCGCGCTCTAACCGACTAAGCTATGATTAGCTGACTGTACATGTATATACCGTCAAAAAATTATATATACATGCCATTCAAAGAATTATACATGGAAATACATGTATATACCGTCAAAGAATTTCCTCCTTTATGTGCCCCATTTGCGTCCTTAAGTATATATGGTAGTATATTTACTTAGAAACAAACTTGTATCAAACACTTGCATGTTTGAATTTTCAATGTTAATTAAAGGGACTCCACTTAAGTTTTTTTTGTAACACAACAGGGCTGATTTTTTTCGAGATTTGAGTACCATTTAATATAGGTCTGGACAAATAACATTTGTGTAAATTTTAAGAGGATTCCGTCATTCCCTTTTCAGGAATTCTCATTTCTATTGTCCAAAAATGACCTAAAAATGAAAAGCGTTGCAGCGTGTCTAATCGGGCTTTTCCCATTTTAAGTGCTTCACTTGACCTATGTAAGAATTTCAAGTTTTATTATTTAAGGTTTTTAGACCTCAGTGGAGCTCCTTTAAGGTTATGCTTTAGTTTCGTTTTGAATCAGTTAATTCTTTACCAGTATATTGGTAATACTTTATAATCATACACACGTTGACTTTAGCCATATGTCCGTAAATTTGTCTGCAGGGTTGCAATTAAATCAACTGGCCTGTCGACGCCTTTTAGAGGTAAATCACGCCTTTTAAAGGTAAATCAAAGTGGTGAATAACCAATGTTTGATTTGCACGTGTAGGTTCGTGCACCGCGTTGTCTTTGCTCCTTACCTCTACCACAAAGCTTCACTCACTCTAGGATGCCAAACCATAGAATATTTTAACTGGAGTTTTACTTAGGTTTCATAAGCAGTGTAATTCGGACCTTTTTGTTTAAAACTTTTACATTTTTGAAAAAAAATCTGAGTCAGCAGTTGACGTAAGCTCGTCTATTTTTTATGCGATTGAGTCAGGATAAATATTTTTTCATTGTTAAATCATTGTTTAGCACTCTCTGTAGAGTTTAGTAGTAAGGGAAACTTACGGTTTGTTTCTTGGGGCTGATTCTAAGGATTTCGCACTAACTTGGGCTAAACGCCATAAACCAATAGGATTTCCAGTTTAAAAAGCTCTTGAGGGTTGGGCATCTTTTTATGATTTGATGGTTGATTTATAAAGTAAATAGTTGTATCGTCTGCAAATAGCCTAGCTTTAACCATAAACACTGTAATGAATAGAGAGAGACCATGCCTTAAAGGACACCGGTCAAGATCGGAAGATTGCCAAAGTTTTGACAATCAACAACCACCTCCTAAGTGATACAATATAACAATGACCTGGTCCATGAGATAACCCAAGAATTGATACAAAGTATTTTGGAAAAGGGTGTCTCATGGTCTACTTTATTAAAAGCTTTGCTGAAGTTCATCAGTAATAAGTTTATATGGACTATCTATGCAAAATTGATTAACTAGCCTTGTACCTTCAAGCAAGAAGATTTTTTAAGTTTCTACTATATACATATAAAGAAAACCTATTACCCCCTGGGGCGGGGCCAATTTTGACCCCAGGGCTATAATTTGAACAACTTTGGAAGAGGATAAGAGGTGATATTACATACCAAATATCTAAGCCTTGTACCCTCAAACAAGAAGATTTTTTAAAGTTTTTATTATATACATAAAAGGAAAACCTATGACCCCCTGGGGCGGGGCCAATTTTGACCCAAGGGCTATAATTTGAAGAACTTTGGTAGAGGACCTGTAGATAATATCATACACCAAATATCTAAGCTCTAAGCCTTGTATCTTCAGACATGTAGATTTTTTTAAGTATTTATTATATACATGAAGAAGATTTTTTAATTATGCATTTTTTAAACTCCTTTTCTGGCCCCATGACCTACTTATGCCACAGACCGGAACCATTTGAACAACTTTGGCAGGGGACCACCCAAGGTTCCTGTAAAGTTTGGTTACTGTGCAGTCACTGGTTTCTGAGGAGACATTGTTTAATGAAATTGTTGTCGACGCACGACGACAGACGGTGGGGGATCACAATAGCTCACCATGTGCACGTTGTGCTCAGGTGAGCTAATGATCAGACCGGAAGTAGAATTTGAAAGACTTAATTTGAAACTTCTCAAAAGGTAAGAAGACACTTCTAATAATATGGAACATGCATTTGAAAAACACTGTTAGGCTACCAAGCAACCATGATAACAATGTTTCTGTAAAACAGGACAGTTCATCCAGTAATTACCTAAAAAACAAGAATGTCAAACGACACAATAATTATTATGCCCCCCTTTCTAGCCCTTGACTCATACTATTGATAATTTTTTTTATAGAATTATGCTATAAATGTTATGAAAAAAATTGACCAACATATGACCTGACATTTAAGGCCCCTGTGACATTGGCCTTTGATCTAGAGACCCCAAAAGCATTCGGGGTCATCTACTAGTTACAATCAATATGTTAAATATGAAGAGTTCGTGATAAAGATTTTTTAAAGAAAATCAGCAGAACCAGTTCTGATATTTATGGCCCTTGTGACCTTGACCTTTGACCAAGCGACCCCAAAATCAATAGAGGTCATCTACTATTTATGACCAATCAGTATGTGAAATATGAAGACTTTGTGATGAATAATTTTCAAAATAATCAGCGGAAACCATTCTGACATTTAAGGCCTTTGTGACCTTGACCTTTGACTAGTGACCCAAATATAGGGGTCATCTACTATTTATGACCAATCAATATGTGGAATATGAAGTTTTCAAGATAATCAGCGGAAACCATGTGGTCTACTGACGGACAGACCGACAGAGAAATACTTAAAAGATCGAAATTTAACAATTTTAACTTCTGAATACTATTTTGGCAAAAATATATTCACAAGTTAAAGGCCTTCACCTCTGTACAGTATCAAAAAATATTAGGCTGTTTGCCTCGTAATATTGCATTTTTGAACACATTTGTAGTGTATTCTATTAAATTTACAGGTAAACTTTAAAATCTACATAGGTATGGGAAATGCCAAGGAATTCTGAAAAAGATCTACAACAATTCAACATGACAAGAAGATTTGAAATACTCTATATATTAGGAACAAACAATAAATAAATGAAAACTATAACTAGTCAATTTATAATACTCATAAATATTTTATTCAGCTGTTTAAATATAACAATGCTGAGTGACCTGATTACAAATGGTGGAAATTTAACCAATAATATCAATAACGTAATAAAATTACCCAATACAAATTCATAACATCTTTAAAAGTCATCTCTATAATCTAATTTCTTAATTTTTTTTTGTTTGAAAAAATAACAAAAGTAAAATGCATTGCTTAATTATGATATTAATCTTATTTTAAAAAGCCTTCAACACTTTTAAAATTCTAATCAATCTTCAAAACACACAAACTTATACAATAAGCCTCTCAAAAAGTTTGAAATGATATGAGCCACGTCACGACAAAAACAACATAGTGCGTTTGCGACCAGCATGGATCCAGACCAGCCTGTGCATCCGCACAGTCTGATCAGGATCCATGCTGTTCGCAAACCCATTATGTTGGTTTTGTCATGAAATGGCTCAAATGTTTAATGAAACATGGCTTCAAAATATTGTAAGCATGAAATATATTGATACAATTTCTTGTTTTTCAATCGATACATGATTCATTTTGTAAAATATGTTTTATGTGGCTAAAAAGAGCTTGCTAAAAGATTTCATTAAGAAAAACAAAACAACTTATTCATTCAATTGTTACTATCACCTTACTTTTGTTTTAAATCTGGTTATATTTTCATGATATAAATCAGACATGGTAACTTTTAACCAAATATTTACAAAAATTTTCATTACATTTTTCAGCAATTTCACATATATGTAAGTACATGTACTGTAGTAGAAGGGCCAGATGACGTTAAGGTAAGTGTAAGAATTGCAATGTTTAATGAAATGAAGGATAATAATGACAATGTCAGATGAGCTTAAAAAGGTAAATGCAATAATCTCTCTTCTACATCATTAACAATATAATATAGGTCTGAAAGTAAGAAGCAGATTAACCTTTCAGAAATTCAGATCCTTCTTTGCGGACAGATCTTTGTAAATCTTTTTTTTTTCATGCACATCATTTCTAGAATAAATAATATAAAATTTTTCTTTGAAATATCTATATCATTTAAACATGTTCATGTTTCAGCTACATCTTTTTCGAAGTCAGCTTTTATTTGAGCCAACAGTTCAGGTTTATTGTACACATCTAACGCAGTCATTGCTAAAGCCTTGGCAACATCCAGAGTATACTTCTGCGCCTTCATATCTCCTGCAGCCACAGTGAATTCTTTAGAGTGGTTACTAACAGTTGTGCCGATGCTGAACTTCGGGTGAATGCTTGGGATCACATGTGAAACATTTCCCATATCTGTAGAGCCACCAAATTTCCGCCTTTTTTCTTCATCGGTTTCAAATTCAATACCAATGGACACTCCGTTTTTTTCAAACAAATCAACAAGTGTTTTGTTAGATATCAGATTTGAATAGGACTTCTCACGAAACTTGAAATCAACCTGAAAAAAAGCAGAGGAAAAGTTAAATTAATCTTCAACTCTTAGAGTTAAAAAGTTACATGCCAAAAGTTGGATTGAAAATCTGAAACAAGTTTAAAGCAGGAGCAATATAATTATCAAGATTTATTACACAATTCATGGAAATTATATTCAGTTATTACATATGAAGGGTATAAATTGTACAAAACTGTGGAAACATCAACATGTAAATTGATAATTTACATTATTATTACATTATTCCTCTTATTACTCTTTTAGAAATAACAACACACTTGAAGTTCCTAGAGTAAATACAGAGACTTATGGTAAGAAAAGCTTTCGCTATGAGGCCACCCAGGTCTGGAATAGCCTCCCGAATGAACTAAGAACAGAAACTGATTACGGTGAATTTCGGAGGCTTATCCAAACCTGGAGTGGCTTCAAATGCAAATGTTCTATGTGTGCCTAAGTGTTATGTTTTTTGTTGAGTTTTGAAATGTGAATCAAATGAATCTGCATGCTTCTTTTGTTTCTTCTTTTGTTTTTTGTGTATTTCTGTCTGCCATAGAGTAATGCTGTATAAGACCTGTTTTATCATGTAATGCTTTTCATGTGCTTCTTGTGTGTATATTTGTATAGTCATTTGTCAGTGCATGTTAGTGTTTGTATATGTGACAGCTGCTGATCAGCTTTTCATATATCCCATAAAGGGGACAATAGCTTCTTTAAGTCTATTTTTACCTTTTTATTTCTACTTTTATTTTATTTTGGTTCTAATTAATTAAGTAATTAACTTAGACCATGAATTTATCTAGGCCAACTCAGATCAGCATCTGTTACACAAACATTTCAACATTTTAAGTTCTATTATCATGATACTTGTACATGTTTTAGTTACACCCATATTTTCATGACTGAGTACATATCAGATGCTGCTACTGATATGTGCTCAAGCATCATACTGGAAATTAGGTCAACTATATTTAAATAAAATAAAATTGAATCATTTACTTTAATTTATTTTAAAAATTTAAATTTTAAAAAAAATTCTAATCCTTTTTCTGATTTTAGGGTTGTGTACATAAATAGAATTCTTGTATGATGTAATTTTATGTGATGTTTGATTGTAATGTATATTTGCTTTTAATCATTTAATGCTTTCTTACCCATATTTATATGTGCTGATAAATCTTAACTGTTTTACAGAGTCTTTCATAAATGTACATTGATCTTCTTAATACTTTTATATATTTTCTTTTATACAGATTGTTTGTTTGAATTGTTATAGGATAATAAGTTTTGTCGGAAAATAGCTTATATAGCTAATGTTTATATGTTTTTATGAAACCGACTTTAAATAAAGATTATCTTATCTTATCTTATCTTATAATTGTTAATTTAAAAACATAATATATGTCTCATAAAATATCCAAAACAAACATTTTAACTGGGACCATCAGATGTAAATATTAAAGAAGATTTTACTTTGCAACTAACATAGCTTTTATTGAGTTAAAGTTCATGTCCTAGTGTAAGTGTAAAGACTAACAAAAGGATATATTTTACAAAATGGCACTTGTGTGACTCAAACCCATTGTTTATACCCATGTTCTTTTAACCACATAAATAAAACATACATGTATTTAACAACATTTATCCTTTACAGAATGAATAGCATGAGAAGGAAGGAAGGAAGGAATGAAAGATTAAGAAGGAAGGAAGGAAGGAAGGAAGGAAGGAAGGAAGGAAGGAAGGAAGGACTTTCTGTTACCATTCACTGGGAAATAATTATTGCTCAGCAATAGATATACATGTAAATGAACTTATAACTTACTGTACAACCAGTTGCCAAAGCAGCACCCTGTACACAGCCTTCCACCTTTTGTTTCAAGGTGACCATCTCTGAATCGGTGGGTGTCCGCAGATAATATTCTAACTCTGTCTCCTCTGGTATAATATTAGGTTGAGCACCACCATTCCTGATTACACCTATAGTATAACACAAAGATTTTTATATTTCATAGATAACAAACGTTTTATCAAAAATTGTTAAACTATATCAAAATCCATTCATGATGTCTTAACTGCTCTTCAAGAAAACATATATGATATATCCTACATCATAGCTTCAATTTCAATTAAAATAGTTCATATATGTATTTCCATTATACAGAGTATTTACCTCCATTTAGTTGTTTAGTAATTTTCCTTTCATCATTTTGGTTATTGATTGAATATTCCCAGTCTAGTAAAAAAAGATCAACTCTGTTTCTTAGATAATAATTTTAAAAAGAAAAACCAAAATTGTTAGGAAATTCCTTCCGCATACAATTGTATAACTGCCATACCATGAAAAAACACTGTTGAATGTTAAATTGCCCAGCTATAAGAAAGTATGTCAAACATACATTTATCACACACCCGTGCTGATTTTACGACTCCGTAAATATGGTATTGCACGGGCTTGCATATATTTTGACGTGACGTCATTAGCGTTACACAAACATAGTGTAAAGATGCGCTAAATGTTAGCGTTATACTATAGGTGCGTCAATGAACAAGAGCTGTCGGTAGGACAGCAACGCTTGACTATTCTTAGTGCTTGATTGTAAAAAAAAATGCTTGATACAGTTACCTCCTCCTGTTTACAGGTTGGGGTAATGATGGTGAACAAGTGTGCAAAGTTTCAAAGCCATTATGTCAATGGACTTTGAAAATATTTGAGGTATTACAAAAACTTTAACGTAAATTCTAAGTCCAAAAAGGGGCATAATTCTGTCAAAATGCTTGATAGAGTTACCTCCTCCTGTTCACAGGTTGGGGTAATGATGGTGAACAAGTGTGCAAAGTTTTAAAGCCATATATCAATGGACTTTAAAAATATTTGAGGTATTACAAAAACTTTAACATAAATTCTAAGTCAAAAAAAGGGGCATAATTCTGTCAAAATGATTGATACAGTTACCTCCTCCTGTTTACGGGTTGGGGTAATGATGGTAAACAAGTGTGCAAAGTTTAAAAGCCATAGGTCAATGGACTTTGAAAATATTTGAACTATTACAAAAACTTTAACGTAAATTCTAAGTCGAAAAAGGGGCATAATTCTGTCAAAATGCTTGATACAGTTACCTCCTCCTGTTTACAGGTTGGGGTAATGATGGTGAACAAGTGTGCAAAGTTTCAAAGCCATATGTCAATGGACTTTGAAAATATTTGAACTATTACAAAAACTTTAACGTAAATTCTAAGTCGAAAAAGGGGCATAATTCTGTCAAAATGCTTGATACAGTTACCTCCTCCTGTTCACAGGTTGGGGTAATGATGGTGAACAAGTGTGCAAAGTTTCAAAGCCATATGTCAATGGACTTTGAAAATATTTGAACTATTACAAAAACTTTAACATAAGTGGTTACGCCGACGCCGACGCTCGGGTGACTACAATAGCTCTACTTATTCTTATCGAATAGTCGAGCTAAAAATGACTCTTATTTCACTTTAAAGGTCTTTATTTTGGGTATGTGATATATAGAATATCAAATTCGTGTAAGTTCAATACTGAATATATTGCACTCGTTGAATAAAATTATATTATGCGAGCCTCTCGTGCAATAAATTCAGTATTGAACTTACACTCATTCAATATCCTCTATGTATTAGGGGATAATTTCATTACAATCACATTTTCCTTCTCTCTGTTGCTTGGTGTTTATTTAGCTTACCCTCTGGATCACAGCAGAAAAACCACTTAAATTTACCAGAGCACAGTTCAGACTTCTTTATTTCTGTTTAAAATTTGATAAGTAATGAAAACATTCCTCGCTTTTCCAAAAATAAATCTGAAGGCATATCCTACTTAAGAATAGATTTGATTTTATCATTATGATTATGGGTTTCAGTCCTACTCGGGTCACAACTATGTTTCTTTATATGACACCAATCACTGGTTGGTTCCAGGAAGGAGACTCTAAAAGGATTGAAATAAGCAAGAACTTGTTTTCCCAATCAAGCTTAACTAAAAATGTTTAAACAATTTATTACCATGAACTCTCCAGGTGGGTTTCATTTGTTGTCTGAGGTTAGATATATTGTTGTAACAAGCCACTGCAGCATCCAGTGCATTCAAACCTTCCCATGGATACGACGAGGCATGAGATGCTTTACCGAAATACTTTATAGATAACCTGTAATAGAAATACATATGAGCCGCATCACGACAAAACCAACATAATGCGTTTGCGACCAGCATGGATCCAGACCAGCCTGCGCATCGGCGCAGTCTGATCAGGATCCATGCTGGTCGCTTACCAACCCTATTACAAGTAGCAAAACTGATAGCGAACAGCATGGATTCTGATGAGACTGCGCGGACATGCAGGCTGGTCTGGATCCATACTGTTCAAAAACCCATTATGTTGGTTTTGTCGTGACACGGCTCATATTTTAATAACTATATGTAGTGCATAGTTTAACTTAAATTGTTAACTATGTATAGTGCATACCTTAACTAAGTGCCATTATTGTAAAAATACAATAACTATCTGAAGTGCATTCTTTAACTTAGTACAGTATATATGTTAAACAATGTGCAGTGAATATTCTAAGTGCAAAACATGCTTTTAAATTATAATGTGAGTGCATACTTTAATTATGTGCAAAATCTTTGTAAAACTAGAACTAAAAAAAAAAGAAATGCAGAGTACTGGTTCTTGTGCACTGCACTTCTTCTTAATGAGATCTATCATCCTATGAAGTTTCATGTCCATAGCTTTTATACTTAAGGAGAAATGGCCTGGACAAAAATAAAGTATGAAAATTAACAAAGGGCAATTACTAAAAAAATAAGAAATGCAGAGTACCGATTCTTGTGCACTGCACTTCTTCTTAATGAGATCTATCATGCTATGAAGTTTCATGTCCATAGCTTTTATACTTAAGGAGAAAAGGCCTGGACAAAAATAAAGTATGAAAATTAACAAAGGGCAATTAGTCAAAAAATAAGAAATGCAGAGTACCGGTTCTTATGCACTGCAGTTCTTCTTAATGAGATCTATCATGCTATGAAGTTTCAAGTCCTAGCCTTTATACTTTAAGAGAAATGGCCCGTACAAAAATAAAGTATGAAAATTAACAAAGGGCAATAACTCAAATAATAAGAAATGCAGAGTACCGGTACTTGTGCACTGCACTTCAGGTCATTATAAGAAGCATGCATTATAACCAAGTTTGAAGTCAATCCGATTATAATGACTGACTTATGCTCTGGACAAGCTTAAGGGGATGCCGACAACAACGCTGCCGACAAAAGTAACCCCTATATGTCCCCTTTTTCAAGGCGACACAAAAATGAATGTGGGTGTGACACATTTTAAGAGTTTGCTTAAATAAGTTTAGTCAGGATTTTTTTTTCAAGAAAAAGGAAGTTAAGTCCCTAAAATAAGAGTGCATGTATATGTTTTCTCAGTGACAAATACTTACGGAGACATTGAGACATAGTTTGGTGTAGCAAGTGTAGTCTGTGAGGGATGGGCCATCATAGCAACATCAACACCATCAAATGCCCCTAGACGTAACAGATCAGCCTTTCCACACAACCCTTCTTCAGCTGGACATCCTAACACTGTCAACTAGATATAAATTATACATTATAAGAAAATGTTTTTGTTATAGCTTGTATTTTATCATTTTTTTAATGACACTATATATTCATATAGTGTGAAGGATTTTTAACACAACATATCTACTCTCTGTGAAGTCAAAACATGTTTATTCTATATTTACAAAGAGACTGCAGTGTAGCAGTAACCAGTATTTTCTTCTAATATCATATTTGAGCATAGTACATATATAGTACATAGTATATCTTTAACTAGCCAGTACCTGTTTACTATATATAACAGATCAACAGGAGATTATCATAACTTAATCATTTTTGGTAAGACAAATGAGCCAATAGTACTGTGGCACAGAGGTGACATGTGTTTTTTTATATTTATATTGTGCGCATGAGTACTATGTCATGCGAATCGGTACCCCATGCGAATAAGTTACTTAGATGTGCCCTCAAGATAATTAAGCAGTTAAGTTGTGTGCACAAGATTTTGCATACGAGTAACTAAGTTGTGCGCATAAGAAATTTAAAATGGTTAACAACAGATAAGATAATTAAACTAACAGTTCCTGGGAATTGTTCTGGGTTTGCAATCATTGCAGCCTTAATTGCAAGTGCTGATGCTACACCAAGCTCTGCTATAAGGTTATGTCCACATGCATGTCCGATCCCTGGCAATGCATCATATTCACACAATACAGCAATATTTGGACCAGGAACCGACTCTTTTTCAACATTGTGTGTGTAGGTTGCTCTGAATGCCGTTTCAAGTTTAAAGGACTTTTCCACAATAAATCCAGTTTTCTCCAAAAAATCTGTCAATTCTGTATGGGCAAAATGTTCCTTAAACCCAAGCTCTGGTTGATTCCAGATTGATTGGCTTAGTCGGTTCAAGTCAGTGCTCTCTTGATCTATCGTACTTGACACAATATTCATGATGTCATCCATTGTCAATCAAGAATTTCCTTAAATTTTAAGTTTGACAGGAGTGACAGTGCGGATAATTTGTACAATCAAAATTTTACTTTGACACCGTTCAAGCATCTGATAGACACAGACGCGGAAATTAAAGTTGAAAGGTGAAAGTGTAAAGGTTTCGTCTTGCTTTGAACAGTTTGTGATAATTTCCGTTGTAAGAATTAATTTATATTTGTCAGTTTGTATGTTTTGTTACTGTACTCAATTATTTGTGTCGTTTATACGGCTTTGTAATGCAAGCCGAGTTGTTGTCGACGACAAATGGATATTCATGATATAAAATTTTTGTATGATAAATTGATATACATGATATTTGTACATTCATGAGTATATCAGTTGTGACTATGAGTCATTGTTATATTTTTCCTTGTTTCAGTCTACTGTAGATTCAAATTAATATGGCTCAAATGTGTGGAGGTGCAGGTGATGTTATGCCAGCTGATGAGGAAGTGAAAGGTTATTGCAATGAGGTAGGCCAATACATATGTTTTTATGTATTTCACATTAATATAATATCATTATATTAAGGAAGTGGCTAGCCGTACGGGCCTGTACGGCTAGCCAAAAGTTCTAGCCGTACGTGAGTCACGTACGACTAGCCAGGACACACTGTATTGGCTAGCCGTACGGCATTTTCAAAATTATATGGAAGTCGAAAATGCATATGTGATTTTATGACTTTAAGCGAGGATTTTAACCAAGAAACAGCAATTGTCTTCCTATGTTTACTTTGTAGAGATAAATCGCCTTGTTGGCTACAGTAAAAAAAGAACGAATATCGATCTTTGTCATCTCAAGACGTTGAGAAAAAATACGCATTTGGCTGCAGTTAAATAACATCAATTGAAATGGTTTACAAATTTTGATAAGATTTTTTGTTTCATTAAGTTTAATTTTCGACACCTTTAAAATGAAACAAAAAAACAAAAATTATTGTTGTTGGGCTCTGAAATTGCGTCAATTACCGACGGTATAGAAGTTTGTTAACATAAGGAAAGTTTGCATGTTTTGTGAAACGCATTTTAAAATTCTATTGTCAGTCCCTGGGTAGGCTTTAAATAAGGCTAATTAATTGATTGTGCTTTTATGTTCGATATTTTCTACTGTTTTTGAAAATTATACAATTATTTTGCATTTCACCGGTTTTTTTTTTGGTTTTTTTTTTCAATGTCCTTTTTATCCACTCCTATCATTATTTATTCGATCCATGATTGTGCTTAATTAACAAAATTTCACCTTTCATACAAATAAAACAACAAACTATAATCACGAGGCATAAAATAACATATGCATGTTCGACTTCCATATAAATTTGAAAAGTGCGGTACGGCTAGACAATACAGTGAGTCCTGGCTAGTCGTACGTGACTCACGTACGGCTAGAACTTTTGGCTAGCCGTACGGGCCCGTACGGCTAGCCACTTCCTTATATTAATATGAAAATAGGCAAAGCCTCGAAGCGAGCTCGATTTACTTTTACCGTGAAATAGTATAAATTAATCGTTCATTTTTATTTTACATTTTCCGTTTTAAAATTGTCATTTTTATTTTACATTTTCCGTTTTAAAATTGTCATTTGGTATTTTATACACTGCTTCCGTTTATTCTGGTTCCCTGTCCAATTATGGTTCACATATAAGTGCGCAGGATACTAGTAGTCTACGCTCCCCTTTTCAATCGGAATTCCTTGGTTTTTATGGTTATCTTATAATTTGAAAAGTTGCGATGCGTTTATTCAGTACTTCGGACGAAAGTTTTCAAAACCATCACTAGCAGGTATTCACCGTAAAGCTTGCTATTAAACACTTTAAAGATGATATCTAAAAGAACATAGTTCTAAACTTGAGTTAACATTTCTTGCAATTTTTATCTAGTAATGATAATTACAATCATGAAATATTATAGTGAAATAGGAAATACTTTAAGATTATCAATTGATGGACAGTAGCTGAACTTTCGTTATTGATTCAGGAAATGAAGAAGTACATATTTCCTTTAGAGGAGTGTTTCATTTGTACTGTTATTTTTATCATAATATTAATCATTCTTAAGATGTATACATATATTTTTACCTTTGAAGCTTTAAAGATCAATTTTATGTCGGTATTAACTATTTGTTAATAATAACTAAATTACTTTCATTCCAATATGTTTTTGAATTTTTTAAAACAACGAATGAGGAGTAATTTGTGTACAAAAAAAATGTCATATTTGAAATTTAATTTATTAAGAGATTTTCATTGATAGATACAAAGTAATCTTAATAAAATTTATCCACAGCAGCATTAACAATTATAGTTTAATAATAGTTTATTGAAATAAAATTCAATAATGTTCCAATTAGTATTCAAATCATTAAGTAAAAGTTTACAAGCATTTGTTTATAGACATTTTTGCCATATCACAGAGGAACAAAGTCAATACATACAAATGTAAAGCCCCAGTCACATTAGAGCTTACGACCAGTGAAGACCAGTTCACGATCACCAGTGACCTCTGGTCGCGGACAATCTTTAAAACGTCTTACGATGGTCATCGATGATCTTTGACAGTCGCAGGTTATCTTATTTAGGTCCCACGACCAATTTCAGTCGTAGAGAGGTTTTTGAGCTTGCACAAAAACCTCCTTGCGATCAAACAGGTCGCTAGTGATCTTATAAGGTCTTAAGGCTGTCGCAAGATGGTCGTTCGGAAGTGCGACAATCTTACGACAGTCTTTACAAATTGCCACTAGTCACTGATAATCTTAAGTAGTCTTTAGTAATCGTGTGATGCTCGTACGACAAGTTGTAGGCGATCGCATGTTATGTCACGGGTAGTCGTAAGTAATCCCAGGCAATCTTGAGACCATCGTACGTTTACTTATGACCTGTCGTGCGATTGTCAATGATGACTTGACTTACGATACTTGCAAAAGTAAATTTATCTGTGCAAAAATGGTTTCGGTCGCAGACAATCGCTGATGATCGTCAGTTTTACAAGTCGCCGGTGGTCGCAAGTAATCGTAAGCTCTAGTGTGACTGGGGTTTTAGCCCCCATTCTTGATCCAAAACAACCTTCTTCTTCCCAATTTTAATTAAAAAAAATTTCCAACATCAAGGCTAGAATTTAACACTAGCATTTTCAAAATTGAAAGCAATTATTTATTTGCAATTCTTTTGTTTGAAATTCAGAAATGATATTTCAAGTAAAGGATTTATTTGCAATTCTTTTGTTTGAAATTCAGAGAAATGAAATTTCAAGTGAAGAAATATTTAGAACTGATTCGCACAATTTAGAAGTGTTATGTTTCACTGAGAGATGTACTAATCTCTTACAGGTGAAAGCTGACATACTGAAGAAAGCAGGAAAAGATTCAGTGGAAATATTTGAACCTGTCCACTACAGAAGCCAGGTTGTAGCTGGAGTCAATTACTTTGTAAAGGTAAATTTGAAAAATACCTGTAGTTTGTGAGGAGTTGCTTTTGTAGATCAGTATAAAACTGAAATATTTAAATCATTTGATGAGAAAGTTTAATCAATTTGTTCAAGAGAATTTGATTTAATTTTTAATTAATGTAAGGTTTGCTTTTGAAATGATTTATTTGGGTTTAAGTATGAAACTTTATACACAGGAATGTAAATTTGAATCAGAAACATTGTGGAGCCATTCAGGGAAGTGAGGGTGTAGAATAATCTAATATACAGTATACAAATTACTTTTATTGTGCCCCCACTTTAGGGGGGCATGTAGGTTTACCTTTGTCTGTCCGTTCATCTGTCCTTCCATCCGTCTGTCCGTTCTCTTTTGTGTCACACGTAACTCAAAAAGTATTTGACCTAGAGTCATGAAACTTTACAGGAATGTTGATCAGCATGTGCAGTTTTGCACCTGGGTATTTTTGAGTGGATTTATATAGTATTTTTAGAGTTAGTAAAATTTTGCAATTTTCAACTTGTGTTGCATGTAACTCAGTATTTGTAGAGTTATTGCCCTTGACTTAGTAAAAACCGTTTCATTATGTTGTGTTATTTGTTCCTTGAGTGCTTGAGTTAGAATCAACCAACTTAACAGGAATAATGATCAACATCACTAAATTACAGGAATAATGATCAACATCATTTTGAAGCTATGCACCTGGGACTTTGCATGTGGATTTTTTTCAGTTTTGTTAGAGTTATTGCCTTTGATTTACAGTAGTATAAATTTGCAATTTTCAACTTGTTCATGCATAGCTCAAAAAGTATTTGACTTGTAGGCCTGAAAGTTTACAAGAATGTTGGTCAGCATGTGTACTTAATGCACCTTGGGTTTTGCTTGTGGATTTATTCAGTATTTGTAAAGTTCTTGCCCTTTACTTAGTAAAAGATTTTTAGTTTTCAACTTATGGCACATGTAGTCCAAAAAATATTTGACCTAGAGTCATAAGATTGACAGAACAGTGGCGTGTGGGGGCACCCGTGCCCTATGGACACAAATCTAGTTTGTACATTTAACACACCTTAGTAGTGTGAGATAATTTCTTTTTACTTAAGTCATCAATCCATGCATTTATAAATCATAGTTTTTATGTGAAAAATGACATTTTTTTGTGAGGGCAGGGTGGGAAAAGATGGAACTCTATGAATTGATTAAAATATTAAAACATTTAAATGTTATGAATATTTCCATTGTACAAAACAGTTTGAGTGTGTTTAATGTGCCAGAATATTGTATCAATGATTGATAGATGAAGTATTGTGTATTTTTAAAAACAATGAAAATTATTAATAAATGTTTTTGCTTTTAAGTTATATGACTAAGTTAAGTTTCTTTATAATCCACTTGGTTAAAGATAGTATACATGCCTTTGACTTAGTACCATAATCTCCACTTATGTTTGAATTTTATGAAACAGACACTTTTTTATGGATCCGGATGAGAACTCTTTTATTATTTTACAGATCAGAATTGGCTCTGGTGGAGAATGTTTACATGCTAGAATTTTCAAGGGTCTTCCTCATACAGGAGGGTATGTAGATACTGAATTAACCATTTGACCAATACTAGAAATTATAGCACACCTATGGATCAATACTAGCAATTATAACATACCTGTGTTGTCAGTATAGAGCCAGATATTTCACAGTTGGATGCTTACCTATAATTAATTGGCATAAATCTTACCACACTAAATATCTTAAAAAGACATCATTTTTAGGGAAAATTTCAAAATACTTCATACTGGCTGTGTAGGGAATAGAATAACAGTGCAGACCATGATCAGATGGCACAGATGTGCATGCTGAACTTGGTCTGCCCTGATAATATGGGGAGATTCTAAAGCTGCCAGCAGTCTAATGGTTAAAGCACTTTAATTTCTTATGGACTACTGGGTTAGTTGTCAAGCCAGGTCCATTACACAAAATTGTCTAGGACCAGGATTAATGTGTTGTGTTTTCATCCCTATAAACTAATGTGTTGTGTATTTGTCCCTATAAACTATAATTTGTTGTGTATTTTTCCTGTAATGTCATGTGTTGTGTATTCATCCCTCTAAACTGTAATGTGTCATATTCTCATCCCTATAAACTAATGTGTTGTGTATTCATCCCTATAAACTGTAATGTGTCATATTCTCATCCCTATGAACTGCATTGTGTCATGTATATCCAAATTAACTGCAATGTGTTGTGTATTTGTCCCTATAAACTATAATCTGTTGTGTATTTTTCCTTATAAACTGTAATGTCATGTGTTGTGTATTCATCCCTATAAACTGTAATGTGTCATATTCTCATCCCTATAAACTAATGTGTTGTGTACTCATCTCTATAAACTGCAATGTGTCATGTAATCATCAAGAAAAAAGGTAATGTGTCGTGTGCTAATGCCTATAAACTGTAATGTATCGTGCTTTCATGCCTATGAACTGAAATGTGTTGTGTTTTCATGCCTATGAACTGTAATGTGTTGTGTGCTAATGCCTATAAACTGTAATGTGTCGTGTGTTCATGCCTATGAACTGTTATGTGTTGTGTATTAATGCCTATAAACTGTAATGTATTGTGTATCCATGCCTATGAACTGTAAATGTGTCATTTATTCAACCCTATAAACTGTCAAGTGTCATATATTCATCACTATAAACTGTAATGTGTTGTATATTCATGCCTATGAACTGTAATGTGTTGTGTATAAATGCCTATAAACTGTAATGTGTTGTATATTCATGCCTATGAACTGTAATGTGTCATTTATTCAGCCCTATACACTGTAATGCGTTGTGTTTTCATGCCTATGAACTGTAATGTGTCATGTATTCATATATATATACTGTAATGTCTTGTGTATAATAATATTTGATTCGAAAAGAACTGTTTACAGTAAAAAAGCATCACTTTTTCATTGATGTACTTATGTGTATTCCAATATTTAGCATATCTTTATGCTATATGATGATGTCGTGGTACAGTCTAGCAATACTATTTTTAAAAGCAGCACATGTTTAGGATAAAGGCTTTTATAGTCATGCATGCAAATATAAACAAAATTTTCATATATATTACAACTTTATTTTGTTTTCCAGGAACTTAGAAGTGAGCAGTGTACAAACAAATAAGAAAGTAGAAGATGCTGTTGAATATTTCTAGTTGTTGAAAGGCAGATTAAGCAGGGACACTTGATTGCACAACAGTGGTCAATAATTAGCCAAGCTTGATTTAAGGGCTTTCTTTTTACCTCTAAATATTACAATAGTAAATACTCAACTTAAAAAAAAATATATAATGCATTTTTGTGACCACAGAGCAAAGTTATTTTAATTCCATCTTGGTAAAGCAAGTATAATGATTCGTAATTTAAGTTCTGTGCCTTGATACATTCAATTCAAGGTTAAGGGAGAGATACACTATATAAGATGTGCAATTTCTTTATTCTTTTATTAGAGTATTAACATTTCTGCAATTAACAGAATTTTGTAGATCTTTACATTAATGTGAATTTTGTTTTGGTTTAATTTTTTTTATTTGAAACTGCCTATATCCTTGAAAATACCCCAGGCCCCATGTTCACAAAGAAAAGATCAGGATCAGGATCAGGTGATCCTGATTTTATTTTCATTGTTTTATAAAACTAAAATTGATTGTATTATGCTAGAATTAATAAGTACATTTTCCAATTGTAAATAATTGCTTATTTGCAAAGAAACCAACCTATTTTGGGATAAAGTCAACTAACAAAACAAATACAAAAATAATCAGATCAAAATGAGGATCAATTTAAGGATCAAGATCAAAATTTGTATCAACTGTAAAATGCCCATTTCTTGTAAAAAAAACCAATAAATTTATTCTAAAATTTCATAAACATGAAGTCCAGTTTTATCAATTTTATATTGAATATTTAATCTATGAGGATAAACAATGGAGAATATTTGAGTTTTTAAATTTGATCCTGATCTTGATCCTTAAATCTTTGTGAACACTGGGTCTAAACCAGGAGTGAAATATAAGGGTCATTCCGTTTTCTTCAGCATTTACCTTGAAACTTATTGGTTATGATATTTTCTCTTAGATATTTGAAATATAAACTATTTATACATTTAATTTGTGAACTAGTGGCATTTATATAAATATTTGAAAGAAAGAGGAAAACAATAATTTAACTGGACCAAATAATTACAGCTAGAGCAATGTTAGTTTGTTACATTTATATGTTCAGTAAGCTGTGTAGTTAATTTTTCACATAATTTAATATTTATTTAATATTTCTACTTTTTTTCACCCGAACAAATTATGTGATCTTTGTCAAAATAACTCATACATGTTTTATACTTCATTTCAATTTTTTTCTCATATTAAGTAAATGATGGAACTTTCAAAAATGATAATCTAATGACTTATTCTTGTTGCATTTGATATTTATGCCATATTTACATATCATATGTTTACATAAAACTTAAACTTACAATGCTATATTGCTTATAGTTCACAATACATTTTACTTTATTCTATTTTTGGCTTATATTTTAATGTATATTTAATAAAAGAACATGAAATTGATTTTTTATATTTTTGATATATTGTTAAACTGACATTTTGAAATTGATGAATAGTCATAGGATACTAAATTCATTAGCATAATCTAAAAATAGATTATCTTATAAAATACACTTTTATTTTCTCTGTCCAGGTTTGTAATGTATATTTGATAAAATAAAATAACATGAAATTGATTGTTTATATTTTCTATATATTTGTTAACTGATTAGAGAAACTGCATTTTTCAATAACTATTATGTTATTATTAGAATTAATTTTCTGTTCTGTTTAGGTTAATTAGAAATAATCATTTTGGTTACTAAAGTCATTAGCATGTAGTCTAAAAATAGAATATTTTATAACACTATGAAAATCTGAATTAACTGCTTCAAAGGTACTTCACATAGATTTATTAAACTTTCATGAATTATTGTTAACATTGGGTATTAAAAAAATATTAAAAAAATGTTCAAAACCTTTCTTATTTGTTACATTTCATATAATTTTGTCCGACTTACTTTAAAGGATGAATTTAGATGATTAAAGATGTAAGGTTTAAAGGCCAATGTCCACCAACACAGTTTGCAATGTGTTACTATTTTGTATTGAGGAAGTATGTTCTGTTTATAGCTGAAAATTTAAATTGTAATACATATTTGAACTGATCTTAACGTTGGGACACAGAAATAAAAAAAGTATGAGCATTGTGTGGATTCGAACCGTTTTGGTTACTTGACGTATGATTAAGAGAAAACCTTGTCTAACTTTAATAAAAGCACATGATGATAGGTCTTTAAAGTATTTTGAGGCAGGTTGATTATCTTTATGACCATTAAAGATTGTTTCACAAATAAATGAATATATTTGTCAGAAATGTGTGTTATTTGTTTGCCTGAAACATGGAACTATCATAATGGTTATGAATTATACATTCAGGTATAAATCAAAATCCCCCCACATAGTGAAACTTTTATGCAATATACATTCTCTTTATCGATATTAAGCCTTGGAATTTGAAATTGTATTTTATATGTGTATTGAGCCATTGCCAAGAATATTAGTTACTGCCTTCATTCTTTATGATCTACAATATTTGAATACTATTGAACAATTAAACATGAACATTTGGAAGAAAACTATGTATGGAATTAACTTAAAGCATGAAGGATAATGGGTACAACTATATAAATCCATTATTTTCTTAATTGGCATTTGCTTTCTTCACCTTCCACTTATTTACCAAGCCCCCCTCCCTTATTACCAACTTCACTTATTTACATATATTTCACTTATCAACCAACCTCTCACTTATTTACCAACCTCTCACTTATTTATCAAAAACAAAATGCAGCAAAAATGGCGTAATGTAATTGCATCTTTCTTTAGATCCCCAACTTTTTCAGGCTTTAAAATCCAAGCACTCTTGCTTTGAAAATCCATGTGAAAACCCTGTGTCGATAATTATATTGAATAACATGTGATTCAATAGCAATACGAAAATAACATTCTTTAGTTACAAACCCACTAGATATCTATTATACGGTGAAAATTCCTGGTTAAGACTTTCCCTCCTAAACCGATGTAAATGTAAACGAGTTTTCATTTGTCTTCAAGATCGTGATTGTAGTTTGTTCGCAACAACACATAGGTCATACTGCGGCTTTCTTGCATTACAGGTGGAGAAAGACCTCGGGTGTCCTTCCGTGCATTATTTTAGGCAGGAACGGGCACTTGAGCAGAACAACCGGCAATCCGTCAGGTAGCTAGATAGCTTCCTCACATAAAAGAATCCAAAGTCAATGTCGGAGATTCGAACCCACAGCGGTAAGGGGCTGGTTGTATCATCTACCAACTATAGCATGTACTTTAGCCGTCCGGACTTCACAGGTCACTTACGCTGTGATTGATCATGAAATCCTCTCAACGGTCATTCACACTGTACCATTGCACTGGCATTGACAGAAGTTCCAGTGCCTTGTGAAAGTGAAGGCAACTAGTACTGGTGAACTGCTTGACAGCCTCACTACCAATACCACCTAATAGCAGGTACTTTTACCGAACTGTATTACTGGTGTAATCCGAAAAGTGAAGATGGTTTGTCATTTTGCTAGCCAGTTTTATCTCTACTGAAAGTAAAGTCCTCGTCTAGACCCATCACTAGCATTGATTGTATCTGAATTATTTCCAATTAAGCTTCACATGGTATTACCAGGGCTTTACTTCATATTTCACTTGAACTAAATTACAGGTGTACATTTTCTTTAAAATATTGTTGAATAATTATAGGCCAACTACCGGTAGTAGGACATCTTTTTCCTGGGAAGAGTAATAAATATATAATATATACCATATTTTCTCAAGATTGGTGAAGATATATTCATTTAAAAGAAGATACTGCATAGATTTGACCATTATTTAAACATGTATACTTTCAGTTTCACAATATTTTCTTTCCCTGTTTAACGGTTTGTATTTAATTATTTATACCCACCGTTATAAACATAAACTCGTGTATTAAAATGTGATTTAGTCACATATCGAGCAATAAAATATATTATTTTTTGGCTAGGTCTTGAACTGTCATACACTAAAGTGCACGTTGAAAGGTTCAAAATGGGAAATAATTCATGATTTAATGCGATTATGTTTTCCGTAAGAGTTGCTTACCTTTATTTATAAATATATTTGTATATCAATTGGATGTTTTACAAAAAGTGAACATGTTCTACATGCATATGTTCTATCATGCAAATCTGTTTATTTCAAAACATACGTGAACATTTGTAAAGTATTTCAGGTATAATCTTCTGAAATCTGAAAACATCAAGCTCATTTTGTTTCTAAACCGGCAAAATAAAAAACTGGTAGTGGAAAAATTATGCATAAATATAGTCTTTTTGTGACCCAAAATAAATGAATTGTGTTAAGCGGTATTTAAAAAATTCCAGCAAATTTAATTAAATTGTGTTAAAGCCTAGCTCGCAAGGGTCAAGGGCGGTAAAATTGGCTGCCTCTACCAAGGGATCGTGGTTTCATGCAATTTACCTCTTACAGCTTTTTACGGAGAAACCGCACCGTTTCACGTACCCGACAGTGTTTTCCTGTTTCTTACGCTCATTAGTAATTGTCACAAGTTACTGTACGTTTTTGAACCATAGGCCACTGCACAATTACCAACTTTTCTGTTTAAAATTAGTTTATTTTCAAAACTCGGTGGAAAATGCACGGAGGTAAAATATACCACGACTTGCGTTTCATTACTAAATCTTGAGGGACATCTGGCCAGAAAGCTATTTTTGTACCTTTACGTGGTGATGCAACCGACTATATACAAATATAATAACTCATAATCTGTCATTATCCGAAGTTTGACGGAAACGGTCAAGAATCCGGAACATTCGCTTGACAACACTTCAAAATAAAAAATTGGATAAAAAATAAAATAAAGAAGAGAAAAAAGTAGTCTTAGTTTCAAATAACGTTTCTGATTTTATAACGGTTGAAAATCGGAAGAGCTCTGATAAAAAATAGGTCCTTTAAAGTTATGAATACACTTCAAATATATCATAATAAGATATTATTATACATCGTCATCGTCATCGTCGTCATTATTATTATTATTATTATTATTATTATTATTTGAAGATATGTTATATATGCGGCGGCAGATTCTGCCCTACATACAGAGTTCATTAACCTGTGCCATATTCAACATGTAAAAAGAATCATTAATGTCGAAAAGCGACTTAATCTGTTTTCATAAAAGTTGAAATATCTATTGTTACGACCTTTCTCTTGATCCAACTTTTCTGTCATATTTGTTTTTGTATAAATTAACATATAAAAAATAATTTATACAAAGTCGTGATGCATTATAAAACTCGGAAAACCTTGAAAAGACAAAAGTAAAGTACAGCGTTCACTAAATAAACATAAAGAAACATTTTTTATCCACTTTGGCAACAACCTTTGCCGATAATTTTATTTTTTTCAGTTGTAAATTAATACCCTAATATTCAATTAATCCTCGTACTTATTTGGTCTTGTTTAAGAAAAGAAAATTCGCCATTCACCGTAATTAGTTAACATAGCAACTTAACTCTAACTCTGTATGCAGTTACAATATATTTTTTTCACGGCCTTTCATTTGCTAGTATAGCAAAATGGGTCACGCACGACCTTCTGCCATTAAAAACACTGGCAAACATTTATAGAATGTCATGATAATAAGTCCTTATGACACAATAAGGGTTCGACAATGAATTTTATGGTTTAAAGTCCAATTATGGATCAGAAATGTTTTTATTTTTAAATCTCAAATGCTTTTTATTTTTGGTGACCTGTCAAAAGTTACTCATTGGCAAATTACCGAACCAGCTTTTGCTACTGTTCCTTTTGACAATTAGTACAGCTTGCCCTTTCTAAAGAAGGAAATATTCATTTATTTTTAAGGCAAAATGTGCCTTATAAGGAAAATTGTCTATAGTCTGCTTGATAATGACTGATCATCAATATGTCACAGTGTGAGAAAAATGTGCGGCCTGACCGGGACTCGAACCTGGGACCCTCGAAATACGGGGGCTCTACCGACTGAGCTATCCGGCCGCTTACAAATCTTTCCTACATAGTGAACAGTTCTGAACCGTGACACCCCATGTAATAAAATTGCAATCTTTATAATCTATAATTATAAAACAAAAACCTCTACACCACAATGCAATAAAATATCATTCAATTATAGACTGGGTGGGTGATCACATTTCAGTTAAAGAAAAAATGAATGAAAGCCACGTGATTTGTATACATTACAGCCTGTAATTTCAGCCGTGCATAGCCATAAAAATTAATCTGACAATTATCAGTAACTAAAGATTTTCTTTGCTTGTGCTGTTCCTTCAAAGATATTTCAGTCAATGATTGAAGTCGGGTGTTAAATGAAGATACTGTGTCCTCTTCTCTTCCATACAGTGAAACCCTAATCTTCTTGTCATTGAAACCACCCCTGGTTTACAACCGATATAGAGCCCACGAAGGGATCTACATCTGTTAAAGTGCAACATCTACAGTATAACCGACAAGTACATTTCACAATATAGGATCTAGATATATAGAATAAATAAGCCTAATTTGATTTTGCCAATCTCAAATTTTAACTATAGCTGCCACAATCGAATTCAAAACATTTACATGTATATAACTGTAACTGACCAATGACTGACCAATAACTGACCTATTGGTATAGATATAGAAACAGTTTCTTTCTGATTTTGACAGCAACTATAAATATCGTAGACATGTTTGGTGATTTCGGACATTCACTGACCATTTTCTGACCTTAAATTATTGTTATCCTTACACGTCTTTATTTGTTTCAACGGGTCCCAGATTAAAACACCACTATTTAAAGATTCATTATATCATTACCGTAGTTATTTTAACCTTCATAAATGGCATAATCATTATAACCAGATTTTCTACCACCATCACCACCACCATCATCAACATATTTTTTATCATCATCACCGCCACCATATCATCATCATCATCATCATCATCATTATCATCATCATCAACATCACCACCACCACCACCACCATCATCATATCATCATCATCATCATCATCTCATCATCAATATTATTATCATCATCAGCAGCAGCAGCAGCATTATATCTTTATAATCATCATCACCACCACCACCATATCTACATCATCATCATCATCATCAGCAGCAGCATTATATCTTTATAATCATCATCATCACCACCACCATATCTACATCATCATCATATCATCATCATCATCATCTCATCATCATTATTATTATCATCATCAGCAGCAGCAGCAGCATTATATCTTTATAATTATCATCACCACCACCACCATATCTACATCATCATCATATCATCATCATTATTATCATCATCATCATCATCATCATCATCATCAGCAGCAGCAGCAGCAGCAGCCAGCAGCAGCAGCATTATATCTTTATAATCATCATCACCACCACCAACATATCTACATCATCATCAGCATCATCATCATCATCATCAGCAGCAGCAGCAGCATTATATCTTTATAATCATCATCACCACCACCACCATATCTACATCATCATCATCATCTTCATTACTATCATCATCATCATTTTCATCATCATCATCAGCAGCAGCAGTATCATCAGCAGCATCAGCATTATATCTTTATAATCATCATCACCACCACCAACATATCTACATCATCATCAGCATCATCATCATCATCATCATCAGCAGCAGCAGCAGCAGCAGCAGCAGCAGCAGCAGCAGCATTATATCTTTATAATCATCATCACCACCACCAACATATCTACATCATCATCATCATCATCATCATTATTATCATCATCATCATCATCATCATCATCAGCAGCAGCAGCAGCAGCAGCAGCAGCAGCAGCAGCATTATATCTTTATAATCATCATCACCACCACCAACATATCTACATCATCATCAGCATCATCATCATCATCATCATCAGCAGCAGCAGCATTATATCTTTATAATCATCATCACCACCACCACCATATCTACATCATCATCATCATCATCATTATTATCATCATCATCATCATCATCATCAGCAGCAGCAGCAGCATTATATCTTTATAATCATCATCACCACCACCAACATATCTACATCATCATCAACATCATCATCATCATCATCATCATCATCAGCAGCAGCAGCAGCAGCAGCAGCAGCAGCAGCAGCAGCAGCAGCAGCAGCAGCAGCAGCATTATATCTTTATAATCATCATCACCACCACCAACATATCTACATCATCATCATCATCATCATCATTATTATCATCATCTGCCTCTTCTGAATATATCATATAGTCTAAGGATGTCGTGAATTATATCAATATGATGTTTTTGATGATAGTAATGATGAAAATGATAATGGAGAGTAATGATGAAAACAAGACATCTCTTTTGTTAAAGAATAAATGATTCAAAGTTAAAATGACTTAGTGTGTATTTGTTATATCTATGAAAATACTAATATATGCTGGTAAATATTTACTGTATGCCTATAACTTTATTATAACACATGTTAACAGCTACATTGTTTATCATTTTTCAAATATATATTGAATGTTAAGGGATTTAATAGAAAAACCGCAATATTTAATCAAACACCATGAAGTGAACGTGGTTAAAATGTATAAATTAATAATAAAATTTAATTATTAAGTTAATGCAAAATTATAGATATTTGAGAAAAAAATCCTATTAAAAAAGAAAGAAAACATATTAAGTAACGCTTAGTCGTTTATCATTTCTTTTTTAAGTATCGAAAATTGCAAAATGCATTGTATTATTATATTTTTTATGTGGCGAGTTACAAGTGCAGAAGATACATGTACAATGTATTTAAATTGTGCAATAATGATGCTAAACTTGCATTTTTTATAATTTCAAAAAATGCTTTAATTAATCGTTATGGGTTAGCTTAACTTTGCTAACGCAATGTTTTCAGACGTATTCAACGTAATTAATTCATGTATTCATGGAAACGTTGCGGTCCATAGAAATAATAACAGTTTCCTTAAACAGCATGTTTTGTTTATTAAGGGTCGGTCACAAAGTTTTAGATTTCCTTTATTTTTTTATTCAAACACAAATGAGAAAAACTGTTTTATGTGTGTATTTGTGCGTGCCTGTGTTTTTTATATGTAAATTTGCCAATTCGTTTAAATGACATCAACATCTTTTTTATGAGAGCGACGTTAAAGGCACATTATGCCGCAGAAACAAATAAATTTGCAATTCTTTAGAAAAGTTGAACAGAATTCTAAAATGTTAAAATAATGGTTTTAGAGAAATTTTAGATGCTGACTACCTAAAAGTAGCGATAAATGTGAAATAATTCGTCATAAAAGTAGCAAAATGTAAACAAAGTTATATTTTGCCTTTCATACTTACTTATTCACTATAATTGCACTTATTACATAAAAGCAACAGATGGAAAAGATGGTTTCTGAAATTGGCCAATGAGTTATTTTTTGGACAGTATAAAAGAACACTAAAGTTGATGAGAAAAAACATTTCTGATGCACAATGGGCCTTTAAGAACACGGAGTTTTAAAGGTGGTTTGTCATGCACATAATAATAAAAAGCGACGCATACTTGTTGCATTGTGAATTTACTTCATAAAAAAGTAGGGGATATAAAACAGGCCTCAAATCCCCCTTTTGATAATGACATGTAGTGATCTTAAATAGACATTTGCATATTGTTTAAATTGTTAAGTAATCGTTTCGCTTTGCTTTTATTAAACCGAATTATAGATACAAAAAATACTGTAGAAATTATATCTAGTTTCCGTGCAATCATCGTAATTTTAAGAGAATCAAAGTGTAGATGTTATGGTTTAACGTCGACACCATCAACGTTGAATATATACGTGCAATCATCACGTTACATGACGATTCACTAGTCTAGACGTAAAACGTTAAACGTTTTGAACAGTCCTCGTCGACGTATGACATTTAACGTAATTATTGTACATTAATTATGAACGAGCTGAGACAATTGTATTGACGAAGGTTACGTTAATGGTATACGCAGGTTAGATTATTTGTAACGAAGGCTGTGATTGGTCGAATGAAAAGGTCAAGCGCGTTGACGTTAAACCTGATTTACTTAAATACTTGTGATGGTCGTTTCTTTACCAACATACATCAGATGAACATGCAGAAAGTGGTAAGAAATCATATTATTGAGTAAATCAATAAGAAACTGTTAACATAACAATTAATTTAAAATTTCAGATTAAGATTCGTCTTAGATTGATGCATTTTCTAATTTCAGCACAAAAATATGTTAATAAAATCAATGTCTGTATCTGAATTTTAATTTATTTAATTTTTTATGATATCATTGATTTCATATGATGCATTTATTTTCAGAACTTGTTATTAGCCTTTGCCCTCTTTTGCGCGGCAGTCGTGGAGGGGCAAATACGTAGGAGACCAGGCAGCGCCATGCATAAAAAGTGTTCTTTGAACTTTAGAAACGATGTGCATTCCATGTTTTATTGGCCAGGATACGAAAATATCTGTACTAAGTCCTTGTGTCAAACTTATCCATGGCTAAAATGCGGTGTTGCAAAGTAAGTTTTAGATTTTATTGACAATTTGTTTTTAAGTTTTCATGTAACAACTTACATAATATATATTGGTAGAAATCTATTTATTCATCTATTAGAAATGATAAGCTTTAGAACTAGGTCTATTTTGACATTATTAAACATGAATTTTATAAATAATGCATGCACCGAGCGTCATATGACTGTTTCGGACCTCCTTGGGTTTTGAAGACGAACAAAATTAAATTCATGTATAGCGTAAACAGATAGACTTAACTTTAAAGAACGTCAATATATATAAAAGATGAAACGTACATGACAAAGCATTGAAGAATTTTACCAATAAAAATCATATTATTGTTTAATATGACCGATAACTGTACTTTCCGCGTCTTCAGTATGAGTGAGCATTTAAAATGTTTTCTCTTTTTTATTTCCGTTATCAAGTAATGCTTTTTAGAATACAATTTTCCTTTCGTTCGGACTTAAATTTTTTTATATACATTTCAACAGGGTCTTTCAAATAGACACTAATTTCAATTTCAATTGTGACTGTTTTTTTAACTCGTTGACACGGCTGTGCAATTTTCAACTACCGTTCATAAACGGACTCTATCAAACCGAGCCTGAATTATTTTCGTTTTTTTTTCCATTTTCTGCGTTTTTTCTTAAACAATAATTTTTTCGCTATTTGATGTTCGTACTATAATAAATATTTTCTGATATATACATGTATATTTATATGTCTATCTCAGGGACTATATTATGGATCAAGCAATGGGTCATATGCCTGAAGACATATTAATGGAAATAGAATACCTTAAAAAGTACTTCAACACCATGATCCCCCAACCAAGAAATACGTAAGTTAAATTTCGGTATATTAATATTTTTAACAATCATAATTACATATCATTAACAATTTTTTAAGCATTTTTTCTTATAAAATATGTTCCAGTTGACATTTTCTCACTTTGTTCTTTTCGATTTTTTTCTTACGACGCTGTAAGTGTTTTTGTTTGTTTTTGTTTTTTTTTATAAGAAAATCATTAAAAATTAACTTTCGATATCGTTTGCAACGGTTGTATTAGATGAAATCTATTTTATAAATCGATAAGGCTAGAATCATTTTTCGTTACATTTCAAATTAACAGAATTAAATGATAATGTGAATATTATTACCCACAACATCAAGGTAAATTTCTTTGATGATTTCAGACTTCCCTACTCGTGTAAAGGCGCGTGTCAGGAGAACGCTAGATCTCTACAATTAGAGCGTGTCTTTGTTAACATACCCACGATGAATCCAAACACCTACTCTATGGAGCCACAACGGCTGATGTGTATCGTTATTGGACCTGATATCTATTATCAACAGTGCGAGTATGTACCATACTTTTTTACTTTAATGGTTATAATGCCCCACCATACTGTTAACATTCAAAAATGCCAAAATAAACCCCCACCAAATTCTGATATAAAATAAAACTCATTAGTTATTGATGTTTTGTAACCAAAGAAAGGTTAATTAATTGCATCTTTTAGAAAATCGGGTTGACAGCATATTAACAAAGTTAAACAAACTATTTATATCATTTTTATACCAATAACAAAATGCCGCCAGAAAATTAATGAAATCTTTAAAAATCATTTTATCTTAAGTTACTGCAGAAAATTTAAAATTCAAATAAATGTAACCCATGTTGCTATAGAAAACAATTTTGACATTTTTAAATGAAGAAATAATAAATGTGGAAGTAAATGCGGATTTACTCTGGTGTCAATAAACACTCGACTTCCAAGTGAAAATCCAACTATAGAGTGTGTGTTTAGGTTTATTTACTCTCATCGCCGGAATAATTACCATATGAGTGAGAAAATTTGAATAGAAAAACACATATTAATATAGTCTTTATTTCATACATTACAGAGGCAAGTGTAAACTGCCCTATGGTGGTAGTGGAGACAGCTATTGTGTACCGGACGTGGTGGTCACTATTGACATCTGGGTCTTCTGCCCCGACGCGAAACCCAAGAAGTGCCACAAGATTAAATTCGATTTGCCTTTATCATGTTCATGCAAGAAATTCCGATGCAAGAAAGACCTACCACAAATACAACCGCTACCAATTACTCCAGTTCTTCCTATGAAGCCAATTGACTGGGATCCAATAAATCCTGGATTTCCGATGGATCCAAAATTCCTCTCAGAAATGGAAATTGGTGGACCACATGGGGGACCACACGGTGGACCGATTGGTGGACCACACGGTGGACCGATTGGTGGACTACACGGTGGGCCACACGGTGGACCACACGGTGGACCAGTACCATTAGGTCCTGTTCGAATTGGAGCAGGCCAACTTTCAGGTTTAGACCCCCATGGTCATGGCGGCAAGTAAATTTGTTTACAGCCGAAACAACATATCATTTCTGTTTAAAACAATTAAGACAAATTTTATATTTTCACCGTCAACTCGCCTTTGTTTCAGTGCAATTTTCTTGCATATCTATAAATACAGACATATGTTTACAGAAATTTTAAATAGAAGCAAGTTAAAATGTAAATGTTTTTTTTAAAGAAATACAGAAAGAAATTTACCAAACAATATTGTAAACAGATATTTGTAATTTTTACTCATTTCGTCAGTCATACTCGTTTCTTCTAAAACAATTGTAAATATTTATAGACGACAAGTAACAGGACTACTTGCTTTGAAATCCGAAATTTTAAAGCTGTTTATGATTACAAATAGTATCTGAGTTGAAATGAAGTTTGCTTTATTAGTACCAATAATTTTACAGCTGTTTCTAGCAAAGCCAAGAATTAGAAGAGATATATTATAAATCGGCATTTAAATTTTTTTCTAATATTTAAATTTATACAAGGAAAATATACATCAACAACGCTAAACTAACGAAATTTTACATCACGCATTTACAGGAATTTATATTGTTTGTCAGGAAATTTAAGCAACTAAAATTGTTTGTACTAACAAGAATACGATATTAACTTAACTTAAATACACATTTTGCATTTTTTTGCAGCAACTTCGAGGCTTAAAGTCTAAATTATTTTTTGGTTATGTGTGTGTGAGTGTGATTTTTTAAACGTATTTTTGATGGAATGTGTTGTGTTGTGTTGTACGTTGTAGTTGTGTTAGTATAGAAGTGTTGAGTTGTGTCGTTGATTCTTGTTGATCTTGTTCTTGTATATTGATATATACATGTATTGAAATGTCGTTTGTATGTCATGTGTAAATAGTTGTAAATAATGAAAATATATTGTGCCAATTTGCTCCCGATATCACAACATTGTCTGTTACTGTTATTTAATACATGTACAAATTTGTGTATATAATTTTAAGTGCAATATTTTGACAGAAATAAAATGATGATTTTCTTAAACAACTTTTTTGTCTTTACTATTTATTGGATCCAGAACAAATGACTTCTTTGCTTAACCCTTAAAGTGCTGGAACCGAAAGCGTCCAGCCTTTGCCACCAGTATAGAGCCAGGCCAGCCTGCATATCCGTGCAGTCTTACCAGGCTCTATACTGTTGGCTGACAAACTTGAAATATTCAAATTGATATCCCTAAAATTGATAATGGACAGTCCCAAAGATGGAAGTGGGACAAGTCCATTTAAAATATTCAGCATATTCAGGGTTAGTTAATAAAGCTGAAGAGAAGTCTGACGTTGTATATGTAATCAGAGACTTTTATTACAGAGAGATAAGAAGCTCTAAAAATATAATATTTTCAAATCCTGACCCACAATCCTTAAATGTGGCCAAATTCCGCCATCTTATTTTACATAACCGAATCTATATACATCTTCATCTGTTACAGAGAAAAAAATACATCTTCTTAATCTTTATTACTTTTTTTATACATTTTGCAACTTCTTTCTTTTCTTTGATTACCATAACAAATATAGATTTGTGATGTAATACTTTGTACAATAAACCAAATAAGCCTAAATTGAATTAAATTAGTCCATAATGAAAGGTTTGTAAAATGATTTATGAAAAAGTTAAAATCACAAAAGTTTGTGGGTCGCAGTAAAAATATCATTCCGAAGAAAATACTGTTACCATGGCGTTAGCCTATATGTAAACCTATGTGTTATTTATTAAATACTGTAGATTCAGTTATGTTTGGTGGGGTCGCATACCACACGAATACCAAAGATCATGTGCTCACGACACACATGTACAAATTGGTGGTTGATTAGGCAAGGTTGATACATTCTAATACATTTAGATACATGTCAAAATATTTCTTTGACGTTACCTTAGTGTTTTTATTCTTTTTTATTTCGAACTATGGGCAAGCTCAGTGTTTTGAAAAACTGCGATACAGATTACAAATGAAATGTTTTTGGAAACTTGCGCACACAATTATACCACCACCTACGAATGTGTAATTTCACTGATATTCATTTATACATGTACCTGTAAAAGGCCCATTACACCTAGAAAAGCTTTTATTTCCAAAAAAGCTGTTTTTATTTCAGTGTTCTGTTAAAGTTTCCAAAATGTTATTCATTCTCCTATAACCTGAATCATATGACGCTTCTGGCGCATTTTTGGCAATTGGTACAGTTATAGTGATTTAGTATGATACTTTGTTTACATTGTGCTACTTTAACGACAAATAATTTCATATTCAATATTAATTTCTTCAGGTAATAGGCATCTTACCTATTCTACACATTACAAAAACAATGAAAGTCGTTGTTCTTATTACATTTTGGGTCGGCAAAAAGGACCGCAGTACCCACGTGAGTCGTACTATAAATGAAAATATTTAATTGCATTTGCTTTACTGAAATTGCTTTTGTGTTAAATTTTGTTGTTTTTTTTTCATCCAAAAGCTCTTAACCTGTCTTTTTTTATATTATATTTCACCTTTATTTATCTTCTAAATGTCGAGCGTCATCAAGATATACATTTAATTACGACATGATGGAAATAAATTATGTCGTTTATAGCAAAAAAAACTGTCATAAAATCCTCCGAGCTGCAAACTTGTTTTCGATTTGAATAAAAAATGTTTAAATAAAGTCATAAATGGTTTTATTTTTGTATAAATCCGTAGATATATCACACTTTTTGAGAATTATGATTAATGCAGATGGCAACGCGTGAGATAATATGCAAATTGTTCTTTATCTAATGTTTGTTGACCTTTTCTTACAGTTATTCTATTCCTTCTGTACTTTTAAAAACTCAGTAGAGCAATACTTAACAGAATATATTGCTGTTATTGGAGACTTGAAATCATTTATATTTACATATGCTTTTTTCGCATAGTTGCATTTTTGCATTGTTTTCAATTTTAGTATTTTAAACATTGTAGAATTTTCGAGGCGATAGCTACATTTTGATATTGCATTTTCGAGTTTTCGGTTTGTTGCGTTTTGGCGTTATCGCGTTCCAGTGGTTTTACAAGTGCACGTGCACATCGATAGAAACAAGGAGAGGATACAGAATGAGATGACAAATTTATATAATTCAAATGTTTAAGGTTATGCAAACCATTTTAGTTTCAGTCATTAAATTTGGAACCGATATGCCCATGCTTTGGCATATGACATATTATGTGAAATAAATCTGCACATGTATAACCGTAACGCGAAGATTAGATAATACAACAATGCTAAAAAGCAGCAATGCAACGATTTTTAGATGCTTTTATGCGAAAATGCTACACTAAGACAAATTTAACAAATATATATTCAACAGTGCAAAGACATAATTATTATGCTGCATCGTATATCCGCCCTTTTCATATTTTCGCTTTAACGTCTCGATAATGCGCTTACGTTTCGAAAATACGAAAACATGATTTGTTACTTTGCGGCATGTTCAGTCAATTCACAAGCTGTCTCGCAGTGCAAATATCCCATATTTTCTTCAATAAGTAATGTTTTGATCTGATTTCAATTTTATTTGGTTTGAAGACATTTTATCTGCTTGAAACGTGTTTGTTTCTAATCTGAATCGCCGTTTAGGAAAAATAATCTGTTTTAAGATGAAATGGTCTATTTCAATGCTGAATTCCTTTAATGGGAAACGTTGCCACAACTGCATTTCAAACACGAATGTAACAACTTTACATTTTCTGGAAACTATAATGAAATCTACATGGTATAGCATTCTCCGAATTTCGAAATTTGATGTAGTGTTTACAAATATATAAAAAATGACAACCATTTACCTTTGTTGACACCCGGTTTGACACCCGGTTTTAGCACCATGCTCTAGCTCGGAAGTAGAGACAGAGCGATTTACCGTATACCTCCGAAAGACCTCCGAAAGAGGTAGCTCTATCGTTAACCAGGCATGCAATAACAACTCAAGGACTTAAAATGTGATAACATCGTATAGTTTACATGATACAAATCAATCTCGTAATTGTAGTTTCAGTAAGAAATCATCTTACTCTTCTGATTCGACACCGTTATTCCCGTGCTGTGACATGTGACACGTGTGCCATAATTCTGCCACCGTGACGCGATTTTGCAACACAACAACAATGCAGAAAGTGACAATGTAACAATGCGAAAAAAAAGAAGGTAAAAATAGAAAACCGATCGCACTTTGTGGCCGTGTATTTTATATATACCCTTATTTCTTGTAACTCAGATGTCTCGTTTTTGTAACTTTGTTCATGTAATGCCTTCTTGTGGTAAAATGAGATGATCAACCTGATTTGTTCAAAATTCATGTATTTTCAAATACTAGCACCATTTTACATGACGTACATGTATGTTATTTCCTGTAACCCTTTGAAGTTCGGATTAAAGTGGACGATGTTGACTTGCATTGATTAAACCATTTCCGTCACGTTACGTAGTTTATAATTAGACGCCGCTTGCAAGCGGCTTCGTGTAGATATGCAGTTGTCCATACAGCAATGGGGAAAATTTTAGACTTGATTTTGTGTATTTTTTTGTTTTAACAAAGTCACACTGTTCTCACATTTTCTAATAAAAAAAGCTTTTCTGATGTACAACATGTCACGTTGCTTTAAGGGATTTGAATAAACGCCTAACTGAAATTATAATGCCATGTTTGAATATCATATTCTTTTTATCATAACTACATAATAAATAACGTGCCAATGAGCCAGTCTATAGTCAATCGTTCTAAAACTTAACCGTTGAAAGAGGTTACAACTGAGGCAGTGTCACTTACTTCGTTTGCTCCGCCTCTTTTGAAGTTCTGCTCCGCCTTAAATTGTCGCAAAAAATTTAAAATGATGCTCCGTATGCATACCAGGACAACTTTGATCAATATCACTTTTCGAATCATTAAATTACAAAGCCTAAATCATGCCCATTATCAGAGAGGCGGTTCTTTCGCAACCGTAAACTCGTTACGCTACGGCCAGTAAGGGGATATCACTGCAGAACAGTTCGTCCTCAAAATCATTCGAACATTATGCAATTCGTACCAATATTTAAATGGATATATTCTCGGCACATATTGTCTTGAATTCATTTTAGGTATACCAATCATTTAAATTTTACTTGTTATCCAATTTATTTTGATTCGACCAGACGTTTCAATCTTTGTCGCAACAGAAAAACATTTTAGAATTTCAGACATGGCATTACTTTGTGAATTTATGCATTTGGTTCAATATGCAACTTTAATATTAAACAACCAGCACATACCAAGAACATGGAGAAAAAATTGATTTGTGCTTCGGATATTCAACTGTAATAGTGAACGATTTTCAATGTTGATTGACTGTTCACATCATTTGGCGGCGTCTTTGATGTGCAGCATCAACATTTAACTTGTTCTCATTTACAAGGTATTCGAATAGTTGCTCACATATGTGATATACTTTTATTATCCGTCGACTTCAGAGGCCTAAACGGGCAATTGACTCAGTATTTTTTATGTTTTTGGGTCTAAGTGCAACTGATAAAGAAATTACTGTTCCTGAAGAAACAGCTGGCTTTTTGCCATGCCAAGTAGCATCTTTTTAAGTAATATATTTATTCTTTCAGCAAATCTTTCTTATAACATAGAGGTCATGCAAGAATATTTCCTGGTATAAGAATTAAAATACGGATTAAAATTTAGGATTTATACAGTTATTAACAACTGCTTTGATCAATATATTGTAAAACAAACACTTCTATGTTGTTCACTTTTTATTTCACATTCATAAAATGTTTTTAGCATATTACATAACACAGATCCATAATTTACACGCAAAGCATTCTTCTTATTCAAACATAATAATAAAGATTTATGACACATAAGATATCAGATAGTGTACTTTTTTACATTTGTATATGAATTTCAAATGCAGTTCTCGGGACATTCCATCATTTTCGATTTTCTTTGAACATAGGATAAATGAATTTCAGTGAATATTGTCAAAAAATGATAAAACATAAATCTTTGATAATTCGTCACAATCTTTTATGTAATTTTATACTTTTATTGTATTTAGATAAAAAAATCAACTGCTGTTTAAAAATGACAGACACACAACTCAACCCAAGTATACGTACAAACATACACAATTAAATGGAAACAATAATAATAAAAAAAACAAGCATCAAAAATTGCACTGTCCCGATATCACAACAAAACAGAGAACATAAATTTTAAGTGCAATACATCGAAAGAATTATTTACAATATTTACAGCAATCTTACATTATTAACAACTTTAGAAGTCACTAATTTCGAATTATGTATTCCAGTTTTTAATGTTTGTTTAAAAAATAAATATTTTATTTTTAGACAATGGCGTCATTTGATGTCAATGATTTTCAATTGTTTTTTTGTTTTTTTTTTAAATATTTGATTCTTTTTCTTATAACAAAAATAAAATAAGCAATAGTTTATACAATTGCCGGTGTTTGTGATAATTTGTCATTACATTTGCAATACGCGCATGCGCAAGAAGTGGGTACGTCATCAATAACTGCAGTAAAGATCATGTCGGCATGCTCACTGTATACGAGCACCTCTCTGGTCATATATCCCGTCGGTTTACAGATCATATTATAGTTGTAGGAGTACCCGACAAGGCAAAGATTTCGCTTCACTCCATCAAACCTGATACGCTTCAAACGCCTTTGCATTCTTCTTGGGTAATGTTTAGGTATACTTACAGCCCTGAAATTAAAACAACGATGCTGTTATAATTTTTCCCGAGAAATGATTTGAAAATAACACTTTACTATTTTTATCAATAAAATTTCTATAAATGTAAAAATACAAGAAAAAGAAGTTCGAAATGACAATGAAAAGTATTATTAGATAGAGACTGATATGACTAAATGTGGTGACTAAATAAGTTAGTAGATCTACACATGCGTTTGAAATTTCACGTGAAATTTGTATAACGTTTCGTGGTTTCCTGTACATAATTTATCGTAAATAAATGACGCAGATTTAGAAGGATTTGATATAAAACTTACCATGGATGTACACATTCAACGTCAAAAAGGTTTTGACCTTCAAGCACGTGACACGGTAGCAGACCACCATTTAGATTCATGAGATGTTGGGGCACGGTGTAATGTGGTACTTGTGCCCAAATAACACGGATTGGTTTCCGGATCATCTGACATATGGATTCGTAGGTGTAATATTGGTTCTGCCTAAAATGCAAAATGTCAATAATTAGTTACAGTACTTGAACTGTTTTACGTATCTATTGACATTAAAGTGAAACGGTCCATAAAGGAAGGTCTGTAATAACATAAATAAATATGCTGATGATATTAAGTATCATAATTGACAACAAACCATAAAATAATTATATATGGATACTGTTGATGATTGCGAAATACATGATGCGATATTGCATATCTTTATATAGATAGCAGTTGATAAATTATTCAAGAACAAAATATTAATTTTCGTCATAAAAATGCTCCTACTAAATCACTTAGAACTCTATCAACATTTTGTTTTTAAGATATGTTTAAAAAATATCCAAACGATATATTTCTATTGTTTTCATCAATATTTGAAATATATATTGAAAATATGTCCATTGTAGACCAATCCACTTTAATTTAAAAGTATCATGCTATAAAAGAATTCTTTGAGGATTGTCTTTCATTCTCATCCTTTTCCATAAATATAAACATGTTTAAACCAATGCTTTGTAAATGCATTCTTTATATGTATCTAAGACAAGTTACTTAATTTAATTCGACAATGCTAAGAAATCGAACCTTAAATGAAACTTTATTCTCAATACGTCTTGCAATTTTTCTTAAAAAAAAACCTTTACTTATCAATATCGATGAAATTACAAAGTCACGAAAATAGATATCTTATGTACATTTGTAAAAAGGCATTCAGTAATTACAATTAGAGTCATTCATTATTATTCTTATATGATACATTGTTAAAGACTATTTTCTAAACGAAACTTACCCATACACTTGATCACGATCGTTGTATTTCTGGCAACCTTGAGTGACCATTAGGTAATCGTAGGTATCATTATATCTATCAGTCATTAAAAGATTGTCCACGTTTGTTCTGAAACAAGAATTAAATATTTATTAAAATACTCAGTTGCCTAGGATTTAACTCACTACAGTATTAGAGCATTACCCTTAGACACTTGCAGAAATCATGATTGCAAAGAAGATCCCGCCGATTCTTACATTTTTCATTCATTATCGAATAAAATTGAATTCGACGATTTAAAGTGCATTTCGGCGGATGAAAAGGCGAGATTTTTAGCATTTAATTAGTCAAGCGCCTTGCGGTGCACCAACACTTTTTTAGTCTCACTTTTTGCCTAAAGTATGTACATTGTAGTTAAATGAAAACAAATTACGAAATTAATACTCATAAAAGTACATTTTTGTTGAAGAAAAAAGCATTTTTATGACATTAATTTTCTGAGATAATCAGTTATAGATACTATAATAATTAAGAACTAAAACATTTCTTACTTTGGATATGTTTGGAACTGGCTGTCTTTGCATACCCAGTTGTGTGGCTTCAGTACTTTTCCAAATGTCACTTCACAGCTGCGTGCATTTGGGATGTAACTAGTGGATGACAGAGCCTGGCAGACTCCGATCACCACGGACAATGTTAAAAGCGTGCTCTGTAAAATAAAGAACAAACATTTGTATAAGGATTAAATAGCTAAAATGAAAGTAACAAAAATTAGTTGACTGAGCATCGCAAAAGTCGTTTCCATTAAAATGGAAGGAAATCATTTTATGTAATTTGTAAATAGTGTAATTAGCAAAATCCAAGCATATATAAATGAACATTTTTTGTCAAAAGATGTACACATTTACGCTTTAAGAAAGTGTTTGGTCCTTTTTGTGCTTGTTATGAACCTCTTCAGAACTGAAATTTGTACATTAACGTATCTACTGTTAAGCCATCAAAATTATATCAAATTACGAGAAAAAAAGATGCGGCAAAAAGAATGCTCAAACATTTCAAGTTTTTTTTTTAAGTTTTAATATTGATGAATATAAATCATTAGTATATTAGCAGGTTCAATATGAACTTTATCTTGTTCACTATTTGCGAACAAGTTGTTTTTTCCCCTGTTGGAATTATAGAAATGATAACTAAATAGATTCAGACTTACCAGGTACATTTCGCTAAGTCCTATGTTATGTTTTCATTCATGCACTTCACGAGTTATATATTAACAAGTACAACAAATTTGACCTTTTCGATTTTTGCAACGGAGCATTTGATTGGATAACGATTCTGACGTCAATTTCATGTTAATGAGCGTTAGCTTCGGGCAATGTGTTGACGCAGGTTAATTGTTTCGACGATTTGCGTATTTTTGACAATTTAATTGCCATTTGTCTTCATTAAATATATTATTTTTGTCAAGTGCTTTAAACGAATTTAATGCTAGAGTGTAAAATCTTCGACCGCGATTCAGCAAAAAAGCGGTTTGTTACGCAGTCGTTTAATACGTAGTCCTTTTTTCTGCATTGAATAGATTTGAAAACAAAACAACAATTAGAAGAGGAAATGGGAGAAAAGGAAATCAAAACAAAGTCTTAAGAGGCTTTTAAATGTATATTTCTATGTTTTATATTACATTGAGGTAAACAAAAGTTCAAAATAAAGACTATTTCACATTTTCTGTATCACTTAAGCATACCTTTGTGGGTATGGTTGTTATTTTGTGATGGTAATGTTAAACACATTTATACAATTATATACACTGCATTATAATAATTAATATTAATTAATATTGTGTGTCATCGAGATTTTTCATGTTGATTAATTAGCGTTTGCATAAACAAAATTATTCATTTTCAAATAAAAAAAATTTGTTCTGCATTCAACCGGATTGTTTTATTAAGTGAACGATTGGTTAATTTTGAACGAAAATATATTAAAGCTAATTTCTGTTGAGAATTGATGAGAACGTAAAATCCGCGTAGACTTAATTTTATGCCCCTACAGCCTCAAAGAAAAGCATGGGATCTGGGTTTGAACGTGTTTTATAAGATATTAACATGTACATGTATGTTCAAAATGTAGCCAAACTGGAGAACTTTTCTGTAACTTCGTTAGGACTTATATGTTTTCATCGCTACCTAAAATTACATTTTGTATTCATGTATCTGTTTTGTATCTGTTGTTAGCAAATCGGTACACTTCGTGAAGACATGCTCTTTTTATATGAAAGTTCTGATGCAATCAATTTCTTATGGTGTCTGATTTGTGACATGTCGTGTTTTCACCCTGCGGGGCGCCAAAGGCACCACTTAGTCGTACTTTCGCTCAATGGGGCGCAAGGCGATCAAACGAGATGGCACAAATAAGCCACCATAATTTCAATATGTATAGACGTTATGCTTCTTCCGTGTGGCTAAAATGATTAATAAAATACACCTTTATGTTGCTACCATACACCATTATGTATATTTCAGTCTGCTATATTGATTGTAAATAATGTAACTGACATGTTCAGCAATAAAATACATCAATAAATGAGGATAAAGGAAACACATGTGATTTCCTGTGAAAACGTAGTTTCCTGTGAAGACATTATTTTCCGTGAAGATCATTTCAAAACAACTCAGTTTCTTTCTTTCTTTTTTTTTAAACCCCTCACTGCTGTAGGAACACGTCGGCGTCCATGCACGTGCTATACACTCAGAAGCAATTATAACCGACATTTATATCTTTCGATATAAATTGGTTATTTGTGAACGGATTTTGTTCAACTTTGGACCATACAAAATTCAACATATTAGACTTACTACTTAGAATTTTATTCACAATTCATTGACACGGAAAAAGAGAAAATAACTAAACAAATATGCTACTGCAAAATGAAAATCACAGAATGGCTGTATATATCGTAACAAAATGAAAAGTCTCTGAATCCCACTTAATCTGTATTTTACCAGTTCTAATAATTTTGCATGTCCTTCTATGGTTATAACACCTGTCTCATGGAAATGTCGCAGTTTCTTATGACAGCTTGGGGCCTGCCCCAAAGTCACCAGATCTAAACACTGAATTGAACTCGCGTATGAGAAAACAACGAGAAGCCCCTCTCAATTTGATGGAACTCAAGCAAGCCCTTGTTCAGGAATAAAGAACTATGAAACAGAGGTGTTGAGGTTGTTATAGCCAATTGGGAGGACATACAAAGTATTATAACTGCTTTAGTGGGACTCAGAGACTTTTCATTTTGTACCGATATTTACAGCCATTCTGTGATTTTTCATTTTGCAGTAGCATAATTGTTTTGTGTTGTTCTCTATTTTCTTACCAATTAATTGTAAATATAATTCTAAGTAATAAGGATGATATGTTGAATTTTGTATGCTCCAAATTTGAACAAAATCTCCGTCCATAAATAACCTATTTATACAGAAAAATGTAAGTGTCGGGTTATAAATGTCTCTGAGTGTAGGGCATGGTTCACAACTGCTCACTGTCGTATTAACACTGAGATATGTTTTTTATTCGAAAGCTTGAATGCTTCGGTGGTTTCTAGTTTTCAGCATGGCAGTGCTTTTATAATAATTTGTTGATTTATTTTGTAATATATTTCCTTTCCTCTGAATTTGGAACTTTCAGTTGATTTAATGTTTCAAGGATCAAATCCGCATGCTGTCCTAGCTCTTTATCTGCAGGGCTTACGGTTTACGACATATAAAAGATAAAGTAATCTACCAGTTGTACATCTTTCTACTAAACATCATAATATTCGTTGTCTGTATTACATTTATAAATTCGGAAAAGTCGGTATAAACAATTATACCCATCATATATATATCATGGGAAGCAACTCTTGTTTGATAGTAGCATATAAGTAATCAAAATTTACGTCCCTTGACTCGAAATGATATACAGATTGACTTCTACTTGTGCATGTAGTTTTGTTTAAATTTATTAACTATATATTTATATCACTACCTAAAATGTTGTCGTATGTGATTTACCTAAATTGTATTAAATCTGTATATTAATGTAGAGGTGCTTGTTTCAATCGGTTATTCTCCTTTTCATGCTTTATAAAATGAGCCGCGTCATGACAAAACCAGCATAGTGCGTTTGCGACCAGCATGGATCCAGACCAGCCTGCGCATCCGCGCAGTCTGATCAAGATCCATGCTGTTCGCTATCAGTTTCTCTACTTATAATAGAGTTGGTAAGCGAACAGCATGGATCCTGATCAGACTGCGCGGATGCGCAGGCTGGTCTGGATCCATGCTGGTCGCAAACCCATTATGTTGGTTTTGTCATGACGCGGCTCAAATACAGCTTTAAGAGGCGTGTGTCATCTTACGGCACCTCTGTAATTGGACAGCTACTAGCCGCCATCATACTCAAGAATTAAATTAGTAGTTAAACTTAAATTTAAAGAGCCAATTTGATATTAAAGTTCTTATTTGACGTTACTTCATATAAACTACTCATGACATATGTTATCTATGTAAGGCTAAACCTAGATTCATTTCAGCTAGATTTAATTCTACTTGAGGGATAAGAGTAGGTTAATAAACGATTAAGAACTATTTTGTTCATATAGTTCAAATAATTACTAGTTAATGCATTATCCATTCGTGTATGTCCATGCAATTTATTTGTCTTTAAATGAGTTACTTTACAATAAATTTATGCAACTCACGTAGTCAGATCGTACTAAAATCTGTACAGGTCATAACTTAATAGTATACTAGGTATAATGTATAGATGAACAGAAAATATACTCATATATATACTTATTAGATGTATATGTATACGTATTAAATAGTTTCTATTTTACCATCATTAGATATTTTTTGAAGAAATTAGTTTATCTTTTAATTTTACAAGACTTCTGTAAATCATTCGCATTTCTACATTTAATACATAAATACCACATAAACGAATCAACTTCCTATTTTTGCAAGAAAGATTCAAGTTTTAATAAATAGGCTCCAAATAAAGGTACAATGATCGGAATTAACACGAGGCATGGTGAACAAATACTTGAAAAGTATTACACAAATACTTGTAAAGTATTACACATGTCGGTAAAGGGGTTGTGTAATACTCGAAGTCAATCATGACATTAACAATCATAAGCGCGAAGTTCTGATCATCTTACAGCAAATTAACATGGCTGTAACAGCTGTCCAAGGTTAAGACTTAAAGACATTTCATGTGCTGCTGGTATTCTTGTGAGCAATTAAATGGGTAAATCTGTCCCTGTAAAAAAAGATATTTTGTAATTGTTTGCAAAATTTCCTGCATAGGTCAGCCTCGATTTCATTTTCAGTTCCCCAAAATCCACATCAAATCCTTATTGTATTGAAATGGCAAAGTTCTGTGAAAATTAAAAAATATTGTTGTGTGAAATATAAAAGGTCATTATAATTTGTTGAGAACAACGTCGATTCTATTGGACTCGAACATTACTGTCAAACCTAGAATGGACGAGACACCAGCCGAATCTGAAACAGGGATTGTAGCTAATATAGTGCATGTCCAACAGAAACCAGTATTGAAATATAAATGAGCCACGTCACGACAAAATCAACATAATGGGTTTGCGACCAGCATGGATCCAGACCAGCCTGCGCGTCCGCGCAGTCTGATCAGGATCCAGGATGTTCGCTATTAGTTTCTCTACTTGTTATAGGATTTGTAAGCGAACAGCATGAATCCTGATCAGACTGCGCGGATGCGCAGGCTGGTTTGGATCCATGCTGGTCGTTAACCCATTATGTTTGTTTTGTCATGGCGCGGCTAAAATGTTTATCAGCCGCAGAGTATAGTCCAATAAGAAATTTTATAACAGTCATTTCAAAAGCAATTTGCACAAGCTGATCGTAAAATGGTCATCAAAGCGAAAAGTATTTCAGTGTAAATGACGTGCTTTAGAATAGTTTTGAAGAATAAGTTACTGAATCAATGGATTTAGATCATATTAATTTAGATGTCTAACAACTGAGGAAAGTAACACTGAAGTAATGTGTCATAAAGGTAGCAAAATTTAAACAAACTAGTATTTTGACTTCCATACCAAATACTTATTTACTATACATTGCACAACAGAAAACATCTTCACTAATAGGGTTTTCGTGTTGGAGACAAGGAAAAACAACGGAGAAGTTAAAAAACTCTGTAAAAAATGTCAAACATGTACGTTATTTGTCAATAAATATCAGAAAGTTATTTTTTACATTTGCATTTATTTAGATTATCGTAGCATACTAATTATTCAACATTTATATAAAAATGAAGTTGAAAAACATTC